CAGGCAAGTATTATTAATAATAAAAATGTTTGGCACTTTAAATTATGTGGTACAACACTGGACTACATACGCATGTTGTATATGGAGAACAGCAGCGTATTTAGGAAGGGGGGGGGGGGGGGCATGGTGTAGTGACCTCTCTTCGGGCCATGAAAAAATGAGAAATGTAATCTACTTTCAGACCCTACCCCTACCCCTGTCTTTCAATGAAATCACCCCTACGCCGCTGATGGTGAATATAGCCTATAGTAACTGTTTATAAAGTTGTTGACTGCTTATAGTATATTCATGATCTAGTAGAATACTAGTATTGTTATAGTACCCATGACGCTATACTATGTTTGTATATGCAACTACTAAGTGAGATGTACAATCACTGACTTAATTCATTAGCACTCACGCCAACCGATATTATCAGTATTGTTAATATGATTGTTTGTAGGTATGTGTCATCTCACATGAGCTTCGGGTTTTAAAAGTGAACAGTTTGGACTCCCCCCACCCCCCATCTCCATTCCCTTCCTCATTTTATTCTTGGCACGTACTTGTCTATCCTGAACTATTTCTGCATACATGTCTACAGCATACCCGATTGTAATAATGTACAAATTATATAACAAGGGAATTATTATTGAAGATTTTCCCTGTTGTCTGATGGATTTGACTTCTTGGCTGAGCATTTCACTTTAATTGCACATCATCCCACATCATCGTTCGTAAACAATTAATTATCAGCATTATTCGGTGGAAGTATAGCGACTGATAATATGTTTGCTTTAAGCTTTCAAGTATAGACTAAATTTGATTGTTTGAAAGACGTAGCATATTTGTACATAAGTAATAATAAGATAATCTAGCCAACTGTGCACTGTTTTAGACTAGTAAATATGACCTGAAATTATTTTGTTTTCAGTTTGATCTAGTATGTGATAGGAAAGCATTGAAGAGTACGTCCAAGACCATCTTTTTCTTTGGTCGACTATGTGGTGCTGTGGCATTTGGTCAGTTATCAGACAGGTGAGTTGAAAGTTCAATGATTGTTTCTAAAATGAACTCTGATCCAAATATGGCTCGGAGATCTGATAGGGTTCTTCTTTGTGTTATGTGTAGTTTCACTGCTTTAAATCAAGCGCAGATACCTTGATAAGATTAAACCAAGCGTTTGAAGATCTATTCTCTTCAAGTTCTAGATCTGATTAGGAACTTCTTCATTGTTAACTTCACCGCTTTTGAATCATGACCAAATGATGTAAAATACTCAAAACCACATGTCCGGAGAACTATTATCTAATCTTTTAGATCTGTTGTGTAGCTTCATCACTTGAATCATTAGCAGATGACAATTATGTTGAACTATTTTTACAATGTTTTTAACGCCAATGTCGTCTCTTTCATTCAGAATCATTCAGATTGGTAGGATTCGGAGTTCAAGAATTATGAGATCTTTCATGTCGGTACAATATCCTTGTAAAGTTTCTGGAACGTTTGGGAGAATAAACCTGATTGAGTCAAAATATATATTTCTTTAATTTCAGGTTTGGGAGACGACCTATGTTTTTTATTGGTACGGCGATATTGTTGATAGCCGGTTCGGTTGCAGCGGCATCTCAGAACATTTACATGTTTATGCCAATGTATTTCCTTCAAGGTTTAGCTCATACGGGAATTTTCTTAGTCGCTTTCACTTTATGTAAGTATAACAGATATACAGATATAACAGACATACTGTTAGTAACATCACTGTTGTCATGTTTATCTGAAGACTGTTGCCAAAACAACTTATGTTTTTCCTTGTCGTGTGTGTCTTGAAGACGTTAGGTGAAAAGGCCAAGCAGGTGCAACAGAATTTCACAGCATCAAGCTCAGAGCACTAGAAGTTTAAAACCTCAATGATGAGAAATTTGAAAATGGGTATGGGAATAAGCCGAGTCAGCCCAACCCACGGTCTCCCGGAGAAACGCCACTTTCAAATTATTTAAAGATAATGAATTCTGTAATATTTTAAGATTAAAATGATACGATATGAATCAAAAGCACTTCATGGAAATATAAGTATATTAATATCCAATAACATGTTCAGGCATTAACTTCAGTGACCATTGGATCGATACAGCTTAAAACAGCTGGGATATATTATCTACATATTCTATTCTATTATTAATGATTTTCATGAAGTAGTCAAAGCTGGCCTTGAAGCAATACAATGTGACCCCAAAATACAACATATTATTGATAACTTTGAATTAAAGTCCGCCGCTTAAATCATTGAGTGTGTAGATTGCTACCTTCGTTCCTATAATTTAACAAAAAATTATACTCCCTAAATTCTTAAAATTGTGTTCTATACATGTTCATGGTATGTACTATATTTGATTATTTAATATATTTGTGTAGACCAACGTAGACAATTTAACTTATTAACCTGACAGACAATTATTGATCTAACAGTATTTTGTGTGTTATATTCATAGTAAATTTGTATTTTGTTTCAGCCACGGAATTGGTGGGGCCAAAGTATAGATTATTGGTTGGTTTTATGATTCAAATGTTTTATTCTGTGGGTTATATTACACTAGCTGGTATAGCCTATTTAATTGGTGATTGGAGATATATAGAACTAGCTATAACATTACCAGTTCTCTTATTTATATCATATTGGTGGTTAGTATCACATTTATTTTATTAAATACTCAATTATAATTATTAATATCAAATGTACTCGAATCTATTCGATTGACTCTAATCTACCCAATTGTCTTGAATCTATTCAATTGACTCGAATCTATTCAATTGACTCGAATCTATCCAAATGACTCGAATCTAACAAATTGACTCGAATCTAACAAATTGACTCGAATCTTTTCAATTGACTCAAACCTATTCAATTGACTGGGATATGGTTAATTATTGACTCGAATCTTTCCAAATGACACCAATCTATTCAACTGACTCGAATCTATTCGAATCAGTCGGTATACAAAATCGTTTACAAAAGCATTGAACTATGGTGTTAAACAATCAACCATAATATTTGTATGAAGTCCCTGGAATGTAGCCATACGAAATTAGCACGTCCAAACAAGCTAGCATGATAGTTTTCGTGTTTCAATTTGGTGTTAAACACTTCAGATACTGTGGCAAACAATTTAGATTGAGCATGACACAGTATGAAATAATTTCATTTTAATTAGATATTCATCACATAGACATTAAATATGACATTAAGATATGGGTACAATTGTACAAATTAATGCCATGAATGTTATTTGAATGTGGAAATGTTTGTGCCAAACTAATGTATGACTATACAATTTCTTAGTGTTTCATTGTAGGCCTATATGTCGTGAAATATATACCATACATAAACATTCCAATCTCAGAATAAACTTTTGACCTCTTTCACACGGTTTAGCTTGTCGTCAACAAGGAAACATATTTCCATATTATTATCAATTTTGATAAAGAGACTACGATTACAAACATATACACAAACACTAAAATAAATCTCTCTGTGATAAATTGTACATGTATAAATAAATAATAGTTACGCAAGTTATTCGAAGGGAATTCCAAGTTGATAAACCCATTGGCATCAGGTGTTCCAATTAGTGAGCATGCCCTACTTTGCTAACCTCTCCCATAGTACTTATTAAAGTGTAGTTTGATTTGATTTTGACACCCGGTGACAATCTTCTCCACCATCAGAGCCATCGACCTATTGATGTAAAATATACATCAAGTAAAATTAAATTTAGAACAAACTTTCCTTCCTTTTTTATTCATCAACTTTTATTTCTAATATAGTCACTTCTGTCTAACGAAAGCCCTCTTGAACGTTCGTCAAATTAACCTTTTGACCTAACTCGATGACGTCTGCTCTTACTAATATCAGCACTGGAGAGAGCAGAGTTTGATTCGCTAAAAGCATGGTAAGGTCAAAAAGTTAATTTGACGAACGTTCAAGAGGGCTGTCGTTAGACCCTTACTGAAGTGGCTATATCAAAAATAAAAGCTAATAAAAAAAAACGGAACAGAAACAAATTTTCCTCATATGCCTTGCTTAAATAGAGACGAAAGACAAATATCTTAAACATATTCGTTTCATTTCCAGGTTTTTACCGGAATCTGTGCGTTGGTTATTGACCCAGAAAAAGAATGAAGAAGCTCAGAAATATTTGGAGAAAGCAGCTAAAACTAATGGTGTTGTGCTACCCACAGAATTTATGGAAAGTTTACAGTCTGAAAAAAATGAGGAACCTGACAGAAAATATACCTTTATAGATTTGGTTAGAACGTGGCCTATGGCGAAATTATCTTTAAACGTTTGGTTGAATTGGTAAGTAAATTCAATGTAGTCGTCAAAATTAGCTGATAGACTATTATAGAGCTCAATTTTTTCTATCCGTATCACCTTTCAGAATTAAATTCAACGCCAGGTTCATTTAGGAGTATTATTTCCACTTGTTGTGAAATCACTAGCCATTTGACCGTTTCAATTAATGTCATTTCTGTATTAATGACGTCAAAAATCCCTAAATCTCTTATTGTCTAAATATTCACACAGTTGATTTTTTATATTCTAGGTTAGTGAACGCTCTAGTATACTATGGTTTATCACTAAACACAGCAGATTTAGCTGGTAGTCCGTATCTAAACTTCTGTATCTCTGGTGCTGTAGAAATCCCAGCCTATACATTATGTATTATATTCTTGAATAGATTAGGACGTAAAATACCATTAGTAGTAACAATGTGTATAGGTGGAATAGCATGTATATTATCTGGTACCATTCCAATAGACGATAATCCTGGTAATTATTTTCATGTATTTCATGTCCTTATTTGGATTTATATGGCCGAAGCTCCTGTTAATTGAGCGCTTGATTCCAAAATTTGAAAGGATTCCAACTCAGGGTGTGTAACGGCAACATAAGAGGCAAGTTCCTCAGTTTTGCAACGACGACTAAACTTTAGAATTGTCCATTTTTGCTTCATTGAATGCGCATAATCTTGCAATTTGTTACCGTCCAGAGAACATAATATGACAAAGGTCAGACAGGTTTTAGTTTGAAATTGTTATAGTTCATAGTAGGCTCTTGGGTGTTTGAAGTAAGTATTTTAAGCAAACTACAGTGATGAGTGTCCTCTTTATAAATTCTTGACAGATTATTATGGCAATATAATACATTATATATATTATAAAATCTAATCCGAGCGTATCTTAATTAGAATATCAATACCGTAAAGGTATATTATGATATTCGATATGGTAATAACTTCAGAAAATCCTCATGTGTTACCCATTAACCTACTATATACGACCACATTGAGCTCAAATTTTTTATATTAGAAATATTTGAAATACTTGTTTTTCTTGCCTTCCAATTATCCAATTAAGTCTTCGGGTCCAAAGAAATATATGATTTGATGATTTTACATTTGAAATAAATACACTTTCCTCCAAGAAATTTCCCCCGAAAATGACCACATTTCGGACTGAAATTTGTGGTCTGACAGTAACCCCGACGCCATAGTCAGCTTACTAATCAATCAGAGATAGTGTTAATATTTTTTGATGTATATAATTGTTTGTCTTTGACAGATATGGAAACTTTATCTATAGTTTTAGCTATGATAGGAAAATTTTGTATAACAGCCTCGTACGCCATTATATATTTATTAGCTGCAGAAGTCTTTCCAACTGTTGTCAGGTATATATGTTTTCTATTATAACTATGCAAACGTTTTGTTAGCCTCGAGGGGTATTCCATGAATTAATTACGGCCTGTATTCACTCCCATTCGTCGACATATTATTTATGTCTTTCATTCATGAAGGCTATTTCAGAAACAAGTGTTGAATGAATGAAGACGGGCAACGCCATGCAGGGTGCAATGAGGGAAATTTTGCCAGGACAGCGGCATTAGCCTGCCCTTTTTCGATTTCTAATTGTCGAGGGATCTTTAACGTGCACAGCCTGTAGCACACGGGGCCTCGGTTTATTGTGAAACAAGTATTTGAAATTCTAGTTTTACTTTCTCATATATTCATTACCAAAATATCTGAAAAGAGGCTAAGTGAAAAGAATATTTTTTTTTGTATAAAATTATGACATTTATCCAACCTCGTTTAGAAAACTGCAAAATCAACATTCCATAATCTCATGTGTCAAATTTTAAATATTTTAATAACGGAAGACAATATAATAGTTATGATCTCTCTCTACCCCTAAATGGATAATATTGGTCAACTGTATGTAATTTTATTTTAGAAATATCGGAATGGGCGTGTCGTCTATGTCAGCTCGTATTGGGGGAATATTAGTGCCTACTATGTTAGAATTAAAGTCAGTATGGGTACCTTTACCATTGGTAGTGTTTGGAGGGCTATCAATTGGGGCTGGGTTACTAGCCTTATTTTTACCTGAAACCACCGGTAGACCATTACCACAAACTATAGAAGATGTTACGCATCCGTCTAATCCAAGGTATGCTAATTTTTATCATATAACCTTTTCTGCGTACACGTTGCAATTCTGACCGAAAGGGTGCCCAGTAAGGATTCTTTGAAAATCCCCAAAATAGCAGTTTCCATGGATGATTGATTACGATTTTACATAAAGCAACGCAGTAATGTACAGTATGAAAGAGTTTGTGTCGGCACTTAGAGTCTAATATGATCGCTGTCAGAAACAAACCATTTAATAAAGTATGAATAATAAATTGATTTTATTTTATTTATTGATGTTTGCCAACTAAATGCACATGTTCAATCAAAAACATAAAATATATAATTTATCAAACATTGAGAGCGAAATCAATAACCCGTTTAAAGATAAACAATATCCTTTTAATCATTTGGCTCTTTCTCCTTACAAAAATATATATCTTATTTTATTTGTTACTCCCAATTTCGGTTGACCTACGGATATGTCTAAAATAAAACATTAAATTCGTTTGTATTTCAGAGATATATTAATAAATGGTGAGGATATTGTCAAGAAAGAATCCCAGGACACAAAGATGTAAAGAAAAGATATTTTTATTGCCTTGGATTGTTCGTATTTTATGTTATGTTTTGGAGATTGGACCTTCTTGTACGTTCAATTTATACCCTATAATTTAGAGGTACAACCTCAGAGTTTGACTTCATTGTAGTCAGAGGTTTTACCTCAGCGTAAGTTAGAGGTTTGACCTTACTATTTTACTGTTAGTCAAGTGATGTGACTTGACTGTAAGTCATAGGTTTGAGCTCACTATTTAGTCAGAGGTTTGACCTCATAGTTAGTCAGAGGGATGATCTCGCTGTAAATCAGAGGTTTGGCTTCACTGTTAGTCAAGGGTTTGACCTCACCATCAGACTTAGTTTTTACCTCATCTTTATTCCAGTGGTGTGACCTGACTAAAAGTCTGAGATTTAGCGATAAGCGATAAGCGGTCCAGTTTAATTGAAAGTCAGAGGTTTGACCTAAATCTAAGTCAGAGGCTTGACCTAGTTGTGTCTTAACTTACAGTCATAGGTTTCATCTCACTGTAGTGAAGATGATTGACCTCACTGCAATGTAACTTGGAGGAATGTCCTAATGACTATTGTGCTCAGAGTAATTAAACCTCTGACTCTTGGGCTGTGAATTTATTTATCATATTGTCATGTTTTAATGTACCATTTCTAAGAGTTGTATGATGAGATTATTGCCTCTTTGTAACTTTGCAAACGTACAACTGTGAACATGTATGTGAGGTTTGGACAACCAGGAAAATACTAGTATCATTTTAAATCTGCCCGACACGGTTTGTATTGACGCCATAATGAAATAAATAACCATACGCTTGAGTTGAATAAACAAATATTTGGGTTTTTATTCCACTTTTGTTCATTATTAAATCGTGCCTTTTCAGCATCGTACATATTCATCATTTTCATGTCTATTTTCTTCAATGTTATGTTGAATGTTTTTAGAATTGAAAATTGTGTCGAGTGTTCTGTATGTAAATTAATTTTATTAACCTTTGTATAAATCAATGAAGTAAAATTTATATTTTACACTAATTGTTGTATTCTTCTAATATATAATAGAATTTTCACGCGGGTTTCACGGCACCAGACATTTCAGAACTCAATGCATCATTATTAGTGAGGTCATACCCCTTCCTCTCCCACATAAACGCAACTTTGGTTGATCATTCCAAATCAGTCTTTTTATGGTAATTGAAGACCAAGCACAGCCATTCGCTATTTTGTAATATATATATTCTGCAAATTGATTATGAACATCTTAAAACCAGCCTAAATTTGACAGCCTTAATAGCACAGATCTGACAAAACCATCCAGTAGCATAGCCTCAACACTCTCAAACCCATAGTAGAATTTGGGCTGTATAGACTAATGAGGATTCTCAACAATCATTGTCGTGTAAACATTTCCGCTGGCCGAGACTTGAGCGATACCATAAATAACAAGTCTGAACCTGAAGACTGTTCTTTTGTAAATATTTGATGTCCTCGTTATTGGTCGATCTGCATTCGTGATCAATAGTTGAGATAGATCTTATAAATAATACATTAATTCACGGAAGAATAATAAACTATACAACAAGAAATAGATGAATGTTTTAATGTTAAGAGACAATATACATAAAATAAAAAGTGAAAGCGTTCAGGGAACATGTTCAGACTTTTTCCTTCAACATTATCCCAAAACTATATATTATATTCTCCTCAACACCATTGCATGATTCATCTCAACATCCTTAACACCATTAATTTCCTCATCATCCTAAAACCTTAATTTTCCTTCTCTTCGCCATTAATACCACCATTCCTAAAATCATTACCATCATGCTCCTCTCAATAACCTTGCCATCTTTTTTCTCAACACTATATTAGGCCTACCATCTTCCTCAACATCCTTACTATCACATTTCTCAATATCACTAAACACCATTATCATCATTCTCGTTGCAGCTCCTATCACTCTCCTCATCAGACCCCTTTCATAATCCTTCTAAACACTCTTACCCCCAGGCTGCTCAGGACTTACCCCAACTATCATTCTCCTTCTCATCAACCTTGCCATTATTTCTTACACATCACTTATACCACACCTCAACACACCTATCATCATTCCCCTCATCATCACCCTCATCACCAGGTTTCTTCAATACACCCTATACCTTCCCTTTCTCAACATCCTTACAGTCATTTGATCGTTGTGAGACTTCTGACCTAACAGTTCTAAGACAATATTTGCCCCACCTTTCAGGTAAAAAAACACTCGTATTTACTTGTTATATGATGGACGATGTGGACGAGTAATTCTGTGGGTAAAACAGAATAACAAAAAACGAATAAACAGACACTTTCGGACTACCGGAAGTAACATCTCTAGGGTAGACAACTCTGAAGAAAATTGTTGCCGCATTGTAGTAAAACAAAATAATAAGTAAACATAATAAATATCATATTTAGACATGGAGATAAGCGATGTGGATATATTTCGATATGTTTTGGTATTTCTCTGGGTGGTATATCTCTGGGAAACGTATTTATCATATAGACAGGTAATAGCATGTGAACATTATTTCCTTCAGTTCTGCAAGTCATCAAAATGTTGACTAAAGGCCGGTATACTCCTCTATGAGAAAGAGCGAAGCAAACATAAAGAAGATAAGGAAAGCTTTGATTGGTATGCTTCGCTTAGCTTTGCAATATCAAGACAAATATGTCAACGCCATTTTGTTTCGTCTGTCTCTGATTGATTGCAAAACCATAAGCGAAGCGAAGAATTAGGACCTTATCCTACACCTTCACCTGGCTTGAAAATAAACATGCGAAGGTGAAACTTCACTTCATAGCTGAGCTTTGAAGCTTGCTATGCTCAAGCAAAGAAAAACCTGGGCTTCGCTTAGCGGAGTATAAACAGACCTTAAGCCATGCCAAGATGTCAAGATAGCATGGTTGACAACAAGTATAGCAAAGCAATATTGTATTAATGTGCATATTGTTATCAAATCATATGGTAGTCAACAGGCATGGGAGACTTTTAATCATTTATTTTTAAAGATTCTACACTTGTGACATAAGCTTACAGTTACAACAGTTATACAGTTACAATTACATCACCATATGCCTGTGAATCATGTAAATCACAAAGTAATACTTTGTCTGAAAGTTATCTGAGAAACAAAAGTTATTTCAAGAATAATATGTCATGATATCATTTTGATATAGCAAATTAATAGACTGATAGTTGTGTTCTATTTTTAATGTTAATGATTAATTGGTTGTATTTTCAGAGAACAATCTACAGAAATGCGACAAAAGTTCCCAAAGAATTAGAAAATGTGTTAGATCAAGAGACATTCGAGAAAGCTAGACTTTATCAGTTGGATAAAAGTAATTTTGGTTTTTGGTCCAATATTTATTCTCAGATAGAATCCACGGTAAAATATCACAATTAATGTATTTTTCACTTTTCATTATTATTTGATTTTATATCCTGATTTATAGAGTCATTGATAGATGTTTTAGAGTTTTCCATAGAAAGTAGGACAATGTTTAAAAGGTCAAAAAAGCTCTTATTTTTCTTAAGTTTTCTGTAGACCTGAAATATTCCTTGTCTTCTTTAATCTTAAAATCAGTGAGATTCTAATCATCTGTAATTTTGTTCTTTTCTTTAGGTGATCCTGTTAATTGGAGGGTTACCATGGTTGTGGTCTGTTGCTGGGAGATTGATGGACAGGTATAATTATGGATCAGAATATGAGGTATGTATGATTATAGAAGAATATATTTTAGTGCACTAAATTTCTTTTCCTCATCTAGGGTTTGAATTACATTTTGTTATCCCTGCAATATCTTACAAAAAAGGCAATCATAATTTACTAATTGTGACAGTAATATTGGATATTTCAAATATTTGGGCGTATGCAACATTATCAAAAATGTCTTAAATTGCTTTTATATTTAATATAGCCACTTCAGTTAAGGTCTAAAGACTAGCCTCTTAAACTGAAAATAACCTTTTGACCTAACTCTGCTTTAACCAATCAATTTCTGCCTTCTCCAGTGCTGGCATTTTGTGAGACTGTGAAGGAATTTGATTGATTAAATCAGATTAGGTCAAAAGGTTATTTTGACGAATGTTTCAGAATCTTTAGACCCTGACTGAAGTGGCTAAATAAGAAATAAAAGCTAATAAAGAAAATGAACGAAAGTTTGGTCTAATACTTATAAGACTGCTCTAATGAATTTTTTTTCAAAATCATTCTAAAAAGTTGTCAGTTGATTTTGTTAGTTTGAATTTCTATCCAGGCACAGCAAGAAACAAGTTTATCATAATTTATTTAATTGTTAATTTCAGATCACTCAGTCTATAGTATTTACTCTATTAGCTACAATATTCTCAACTATTACATCATTACCATGGTCTATTTATAGTACATTTGTTATAGAAGAAAAACATGGCTTTAATAAACAGGTTAGCCTCTTTAGAACTCAAAACATAAAGTTTAATAACATGTACCTAGTATCTTTTAATGCATATGCTGCAGTCATTCTGAATAAAAAGTTGATAGAAGGGCATGTATGTCTTTTGTATTTCATACAGTTACTTGATCAAAGCTATATTTGTTTCACTTTAAAATCTAAATGCATTGCAAAATATCTGAGCTGTTCTACAGAAACAGTCTTCTATAAGTAGTATAAGGTTGTTTTTAACATGATCTTGAGTTATCTACAAATGTTAATCACTCTATGATATTTTTATTGTAGACATTAGGATTTTTTCTGAAAGATCAAGTAAAGAAATTGGTAGTAATGCAATGTATAGCTTTACCTATTACAGCTTCATTGATTTATATTATTAAAGTTGGTGGAGATTATTTCTTTATATATGTTTGGTTATTTACACTGGTTGTATCATTGGTAAGATTAATCTATTGTTTATTGTTCTGTGCATGTGCATTGCCTCTAACCCTTGTGCAAACTTGACTCTTTGAGGGTTGTAAGCCAAAAACCACCAAACAACCATGCATTTATACTAATAAGCAATTTGAAATATAGATTGAACAGTTATTCCGCAAAGCTTATTCTTACATATTTATGTTATGAATATAAGTTTTATATTTTTCAATCATTCTGATGACAAAGGGATGCACAAATAAGACCCCTAAATTCAGAATTCATTAGCTCTTTGTAAGATACTGAACTATTTTGGTGTACATAAGAAAACAATTAAAAAACTGGTTATGTCATGATATGTATTTATGTTTCAGTTATTAATAACAATATATGCTGATTATATAGCACCATTATTTGATAAATTTACACCACTACCTGAAGGAGATCTAAGATCTAAGATTGAAGAGTTAGCAGCCAGTATTAACTTTCCTTTAAAGAAACTATATGTTGTGGATGGTAAGTTTCCTACTAGTTTAACTCTAGAAATATAGTGTCAGTAGTAAGTTTAATTGTCTGCTAGCCCAGTAAAAAAGAAAATGAGGCTTTCTATCTGTAGATTTGATGTCTCAATGAAATTCAAAACACTACAGGCAACTGCGATTGGACCTTTGGTATACTAGAGTTAATTGCGAAATGGGTCATTATCATCATTTCCATCTGATTGCAGGCGAATTTGATCATGTGAAAGCAGTATGCAAGTACTTACCAATATTCAACATGTACCTACATGTTTGGATCAGCAATATTTCCTCAAGTTCAGCTCTCTAGATAGCGAGGGTCAAATATGATGTCAAACAAGCCTCAACTCTGAAAACTATTAGTTAGGTCACAAAATTCTGTGACTGTGTACAATTTGTTGAAGTCTAAGAGTTTTGATATTACAAAAATAGAATTTACAGAAGTTACAATCCCATTAATATGCCTCTGTACAAATTACAAAATCTGGTTCTCACGAAAATAAATGTTTTCACAGTATTTCAATCTTACCAAGTTATAGAATGTGTCATTGTTGTACAGGTTGAAATCAAATTATTGCAGGTTCCAAGAGATCATCACATAGTAATGCCTATTTTTATGGTTTTTATAAGAATAAAAGAATAGTACTGTTTGATACATTGTTACAAGACTATGTTGCACCTAAAGATGACAAAAAAGATGACAAGACAGATAATGATGAAGAACAGAAGGTAAAATATTCTCACTAATATCATCTGCATCTCAACATAAAGAAAGATTTGTCTGTAATCAGGCTATATTAGGGCTATATCTCGCATTCCACTTGATTGCAGATGTTGCATATTGTGCAATTTAATTCAATGTAGTGAAGCTGATGTATTCAAAAGGGAATGCAAAGTTTACATCCAAAAAATAAAGGTGGTGACAAGAGACCTGTGCTTCAATTAACTCAATATAAGAATTTGTTTCCAGTTTTGTAACGAGAAATAACATTTATTCATCAAAATTCATTGTTAGATATTTTGTAAAACGGTACTATATAAATGATTTCAGTGAACATGTAATAGTTTAAGTTTGTGGCTCTGATTTTAGAATGAAGGAGGGGAAGGAGATGAAGTGAAGACCACAGAAGAAGTAGTAGAGAAGAATGAAGAAGAAGAAGGGAAAGAAGAAGAAAGTAATGAAGAGAAGAAGAAGAAGAAACAAGGATGTAATAATGAAGAAGTATTAGCTGTATTATCCCATGAATTAGGTCACTGGAAGTTAAATCATAACTTAAAGAATCTAGTCATAGGACAGGTAATATCGTTGATTATATTGATGACTTTGTTTACTCTTATTGGCCAATTTTAAGAATCTCAATGTTCATTTTTTACTATAAAGCCGACAATCTACTTTATTTCAAGGCCATAACTACATCAAGGCAAGTGAGACTAAATGCCACCATTCTACAACATAACAAAGTATAAGGATATCTGTGCAAAATTTGCATATACATATTGTGACTTTTAATATTGCAGATTAATACATTTCTGTGTTTTATGATGTTTGCCTTGTTGATGAATCGTAAAGAATTATTTACTGCTTTTGGTTTTACTACACAACCAACTTTAATAGGCCTTCTCATCATATTCCAGTTTATATTCTCACCCTATAATGAGGTAAATTTATGCTGATATTTTTGTTCTAATCCATAAAGCTTCACCTTATTAATTTGACATTAGAAGTGCAGTAATATCATGTGTTCAGGAGAGATTAGCATCCCCTGACTCAGAAGTGGGACAAACAACTGTATTGTAATGTAGCTAGTAAATTTTGTGATATGGACAAAAGCCAACACAAGGCCCACTCTCGGAAGCACTGGCCATAGCATCCAAATTTTTATTACCTCAAAGTTTTTAATGCAGGGCCTGACACTTTGTATCAGAGCTTTGAAATCACAAGCAAGAAATTCTACAGTGCACTCTCAGAATGACTCAAACTCCAGTGCCTATGTCAAACTAACAACTCAAACAGGAGTAAATATATGCGTTATTTTATATTTCAGGTGCTTTCATTCTGTATGACAGCCTTAAGTCGGAAGTTTGAATTCCAAGCAGATGATTTTGCCAAGACATTACACAGAGCTAATAAATTAAAATCTGCTTTAATCAAATTAAATAAAGATAATCTAGGTTTTCCTATCTCAGATTGGTTATATTCAACATGGCATTTTTCACATCCACCTCTTATAGAAAGATTAAATGCTTTAGAAAATAAATCAGATTAGAATGGTGTCTTTAAAAATGGTGTCAGGAAAGATAATATTCTCCATGGATTTTAAATTTTCACAATCAGCCATTTTGATGCATTAATTCAAGTTAATTTATGTAAATGTGAATTGAGAATGTCTAAAACTAAAATCAGTAGTGAATTTTTAAGCTCCAGTTAGACATGACAGGCAAATTCAGCCAAATCAGCAGGTCTTCTTTTTGTTTGTTGTATATTTCAATATCAGTCGGTCATTACGCAAAAATTTGTTTGTGATGTAAAATAAATACAGGATTAAAATTTATGATTCTTTTGGAGTTGGGTATTTATTAATGAATGATAATATTGATGATTTTGATAAAAATATGAATGCGAAAATGATACTTATTTGTGGTTGAAGGGAAAAAACTTTGAAATATTACTGATATTTTTTTTTTATCATGATGTTACAATCATCTCATTAAAGCATCAACTCATAAGGTGTACCAATATGAAAGTGGACCAGAGAGACACTATGTTATTAAAGAGTTAATTGAAAAAGATAATGTTATTTGCCCATCATGCATAGACCCAAATAAGGAAAGTAACATTATGTTTTGTTAAGTGTAGGGTTAACCTTTATAAAGCGGTCTTAATTAAAGTTTAAAGTTACACTTATTGTTTATTCTACAACTAAAACAGGAAAAATTGACTTGCTCTAAGATTAAAAGACCAGACTTGGTCATCCAGTTGTTTCATTATTTTATTACAATCCTTTGAATATGTCACTTTTGTATGTTTATAAATTAACATCTGTAATTGTTTTACAGGTAATAATTTTTTCACTTAAGAGCCTTTTTCTTTGGATACTTTTTCTATATACCTTTTGTATATTGTGTACAATATTATCAATCATAAGTTATATTTGTTTCCAATGAAAGAAAACTGTGACAGTATGCATCATTGTCTCTGTTTTAAAGTTGTGGTCTACAATATTTTTGTTTTTTTGTAAATTTTTTGGATTTGTAAAAGTTTTATTTCATTTCATTTGTTTTGTGTTGTAAATAAATTCCATAAACTAATGGAAGTTGATTGTATTAAAGATCCATTCTTTATCAAATTTACTTTCAAATCTCCTTGAGATGTGATGAATGGGAAAATCATTTTGTACTACTTTTCTGACCTTATTGAAGTATGAAAATTTGTAAAGCTATGCAGTGTGCAATGATAGGAATTTAAAGCCACACGGGGATAGGCAATATGTATGTTCTCTTTTAAGCCAATGCTTCTGAAAAAGAGTATCTTCTAAAAAATGAAGCTTTCAATTGCAATTTCAAGTATGGCATATATATTCCCGACCAATAATGTATTACAAAAGTAAACAATTTATTTTTTTTTTTTTTTATAATTGCAATATCATAAATACAATAGTGAACTTTCAGTATTTTTCAATGAATCTTTTAACACTTTGTCTGCTTCAGGATTTTCCTATAAGAGAAGAGATAGTTAATGTAGCTTGAATTGGACCTAGAAACAGATTGTATATTTTTGAGACTATGCAATATTGACTCTTTGATACCTAGAGTTAAAAAACCTTACTATTTCTTATTCAATTTGACCTATCAGCTATTGTTTTACATAATATTAACATATAAGATAATATTAAATAGGCAACCTCTGCAGATTCACTCTCCAATGGAATTTCTTCAGGTGTGGCCAGGGGTGGCAATGCTATTAATAGTATCTTACCTGTAATAATGATAATGAAGATAATGATAATATTGGTAAGAATGATTTGACAGTCATTATATCATGATTGATAACATCTGTATAACATACAAAAAAACTGGCTTTAATATCATTGACTTCACAATATACAACAACTGAAATAGAATGATCACAAAATTCAACTTTCAACCAGTGCTAAGCTGTATAGATCTAGGATAGGCCTGCTGTATCACCTACTAAAATATACCGATTAAATCTAACTTACTAATCTAGTCTGTTTCGACAGACTAACAGTGGGTTGACTTAACTGGGGTTCTGTTATGATGACAAAGTGGCCAATATCAGCTGACTTAATCGGCAGTGCTTTGTTACACTGGAAGATTCGGGCTGCAAAGAAATCGGTGGAAGCAGATTATAGGTTTATTTAACTCTGCTGTCAATTGTGCCAAGATAATTGTAATTATTATATATCAGTTTAATTAATTGATAACTTACTCTGTGCAGGTAAACTAGAGATGATATTTGGTTGTGATAATGTAGGACATATTGATGATGGTGATGTATGGCTGGTATATAGAGCCGAGAGAAATGGTGGGTGTATATCTGACAATGGTTTATCTGTTTTATAATCACATAATACCTCAGTAGACAATACAACTATTTCACTTTTCTTATCACAGTTAATATACTTAAATACCTGCAATATAGTCAAATTTGGAAATTTTTCGGACGGTTAATACACGAAAGATAACTGCCAGGAGTTTTTATCAAGGACCAGATGGAAGACAGTATACCTCAATTTTCACAATAATCTTACCTAAATTTTATTTTCTCAACATAAAGTTTCAGACTTATTACAATTTCTTATGGGTGTCTTGTATGTCTTCATAATGACTTAAAGTATGCATTTGTAGTCTTGCAACTATGCTTGGTGGTAGTTCACAACAATCTGAATAATGATTTTATATGACTATTTGCTCACCTGTTGAACCCAAGAAAATGATTGTTCTGGTTGTATTTTGTTATAACACTGACATATAAACAAACCAGGTTGTCCTGTAACTTGATAAATTTCACACACTTTGTGTTTTGATTTCTTTAACGGAACAGGAATGTCATCTTCAGTCTCATATCCACAATATACTTTAGCTAAGACATTTTCTTCTTTATTTTTAACATAGGCATCAATAAACACTATAAATAAAAAATCAAAGAGTTTTATAGGAGTCAAACATTTATCTAGGGTCATTACAATAAGTGCTAATTAGACCTTGAAATAAAAAAAGTATTGTATTGGGAAAGAATAGATAGTTTACTTTATATACTGCCACTTCACAGTGATTTTCTAATTTAGTTGAAGAAGTAACAAGAAACTTAAGAAAGTTTAGGAGGGCAAGAAAAAAAGGCTACAGCTTCACTTTAGATCCTCTTCATATTTGGGTATTTTGATTTGCTTGACATGTTTTGCTAAATTTTTTTCTTGCAGCATCGACTGGACTGTCAACTTTGAAACAAGGGAAATAATATGAAGAAAATGTGATGTAACTACACAAACCTGATGAAGCTGGTTCTGTGGCTATCAAACACACCAAACACTTTGATTCAATCTTCCCTGATCCACAAATTATTGATTTGCTACAATTATAAAAAAAAATTAAACAAATTACTAGAATGAATTTTTTTTAATAAATTTGGGATAGACTAGCTAGACAATCTAGTAACCCAAAAATGTTACCTTGCTGTCTAAAAAGATACAGGCACTTTATCTATAATATAAAAATTCTAAAGATGCTGACTCAATAGTGATTGAATAGACATAGGAACAAATGCCTGTGGTCTGTCGTAGTAAATCATTTATCAAGAAACTACAGAGCAAACTAAATTGTCATCTGATCAAAATTGTTCATTGAGACAAGACATAAATGATGAGATATACCAATAACTTGTGGGAAATGGTTCTTCATCGTCATCATCAGCATCAACTGATCGTAGAGGAACATCATGCGAGAAACCATCGTAGAAACTTGAAGCCATGTTTGTTTGAAAGTCGGTGTCTTCGTTATACACCAAAAATTAGTTAGGGCTACACAAAGTATGTATAATCCGAAGTCCTCTGTTCCCTATTTATAGTCTCTGGAAAACAATATTTTTTACGCAGGCACGGGTAATGGTTGGAATAAGAGCATGGGACCTGTATATAGTATACCCCTTGTATTTTAACCTTACAGTAAAGTGTGGGGCCTACAAAGAATATTGCGTTTGGTTAGTTTGTTTTATGGACATAGAGGACACCCCTAATGGCGTTATAACAGGTTCTTCTCGCATTATCTCGTACAATCAGTTTTTAAAACAAACTTGATATTCAGGTTCAAAGTTTTGTGTTTCAGAACTGAAAATTTCTTCATTTTTTCAATATTGTTAAGGCTGGACTGTCTTTCAATTTATTGTCCATTTATTCTTGAGGTTTTCTCCCGACAGTCTAAATCTAGGGCAAAATTTGATTTAGATGTCCCGGGATGCATTTAAGTCTTTTAAATCGAGACTATTGAATTGCGAATACAACTACTACGTCTGGGTAATCAATCATATAATCGGGAAGAATAATCAATTCTTATGTCACGTGATACTTTGTTTATAAACTTTACCTCAGCTGTGTCACTTATGTTGTCGTTGTACATTTTTCTGCACTATAATATGAAATAAATTTGACTTTTCCAACATGTTTAGTTCAGTAACAAGCTGGTTGGGTGTAGGAGAGAAAAGTGAAGAACTCAAACCACAAGTTAAAGGGGAAAATAAAGAGAATGACGGAAATGACAAGGAAAATATTAAAAGTGAAAAAATAGAAAATGTCAACAAAAAAAGTGACTCAGATGCAGTGGACGGTGACAAATCTGAAAGTGCTAAAAATGAACAAAAAGCTGAAGTGGAGGGTGAAAACCATTCTGAGCCTTCTAATCAACAAATATTAGAAGACGTGTCTGCAAAAGCCCTGAATACTGCAAAGGAATGGGGAAGTATGTATAAATAGAGATAGAATTATTGGGACAGAAACTTCAATTCAATAATATGATATACGGTAGCCTAGATAGGGCCTAAAGACAAAGAGGAAAAAAGAATCTAGATAGATTGCAATAGATTACATAAATTTTTATGGGAAATAAGCAATATGAAATATATTGATTTTGTTGATCTGTACTGCATAAATATGTCATATGTTGACGAATAAAAGAAATGAAGTCTCTAAATTCAATGCATAGCTCTAACTCTAATCTGACTTAGATTTTACTCAGTTATGCAAACAGCTTAAAGGAAAAGATATTTTTTTACAGGTTATTTATACAGTTTTGGTAAAATAGCTGGTAAAACAGTGGCTGATACAGCCAAACAGTTTAAAACAACAGTTGAAGAAAAAGTAAACCTTTTAAATTTTTTCTTAAAAACATTTTCAATACATCCTTAAATGACACAATTTGCTGTAATATATTTGAAAATTTCCTAATGATTTTGATTTATATATACTGTGACATATTTCAAGGATTGCCTGATGTAGATTACTAGCTGTAAATAGAATTTTTTTTATTTCAATTTATTAGAACTGAAATTCACTTAACTGCATTTTTTTTTAACAGCAACAAAGATTGACTCTGAAAAGTGATAGGTGAAATTGAGCTCAATCAGCTAATGGGAATATTTACCATATCTCTCTAGAATTGTACTTATTTCAATGATTCAGAAATTATCTGTTTCTTTTAGACAATACTGGGTGATTTCAGTAAAGAACATGAAAAGTTCTTAGCTGAAAAGAAAGAAGAAAAAAGACATCAAGAGGCAGCCGTTCCTCCATGGGTTGGTTATAATGAAGAAGAAACAATGAGACAGCAAATATTAGCTCTATCACAGGTAAGATTAAAAAGAATGCATTGCATCCATATTCATAATTCTCAAGAAATGAAAAGTTGTGCCTATATGTATTGGATATTTAACAACAGAGTAGAGGTTCATGATATGATTCTATTTATTGGTTTTACAGATTATCACGGCAAGGTTACGTTAAAGTCTATGAGATCGCGGCAATCCGTGATAATCTGTAAAATCAATAAATAGAATCATATCATGAACCTCTTCTCTTTGATAAATAGCCAGATTTATTGGACCAAAAAGAGGGAATCTCATCTATAACAATATTACCCTAGGAGCTGAACTTTTTAGATTATCTAAATGGTCAAAAGGTCATAGTAAGATTATAATGTCAAGGTCAAGTCACAAATTTTTTTTTAAATTTACACAAAGAATTGCAGATAGATTTATGTTTATTATAGGACAAGAGAAACTTTTTAAGGAATCCTCCATCTGGTGTGCAATTTCAGTTTGATTTTCAAGCTATGTATCCTATTGCCATGGCAACTCTTCAAGAAGATCTAAATCTTAAGGAGAAAAGATTTGACTTAGTACCAAAACAGTAAGTTGAAACCTTTTTTTTCAATGTGTGTAAAATATAAATTGGTTTTGAATCTAGGTTTCACAGTACTTATATGATTCATTACGTTTATAATGGTTTATGCATAAGATATGACTCCCTATAGTTGCCTGCCAATCATCCACTATGATAATTTAGGCACTACGAGCTCTCATTTGGTAGTTTCAGGTTTGAAAGATGTATATTTTGAAACTCATTAAATTTTATTTTTCAGAGTATCAGAAGAAGTATTTTGGAGAAACTATTTCTATAGAGTATCATTAATAAAACAATCAACCCAGTTAACATCCATGGCACAACAAACTGGTAAGTTTTTAAAATACTTTTCAGGGAAGTTACTGACTTAACTAGTGTAAATACTAAAAAATAAGTTATTGCATTTGTCTTTATTTGGTAAAAAGATTATGACTGAATCAATTTCAGGTACAACAGGGGAAAGTCGATCTTCAAGTAGTTCTAGAAGATCATCTGCTGGAAGTGAAAACAAAGGTAGTTATCTAAGCTTATATCTTTAACAATAACAAACCAAGGAACAACATAGTAGTTGTGAAATATGCTACCTATCAAATGCTCTGTTATAAGTAAAAAATAATTTTGTGAAGAACTCTATAGGATATATTAATATATTCTATTCATTGTTTGGTCTTGTCAGCCCACTTTTAACATTGTATTTGATTAATTAGTAAAAATTAGAAGACACATTGTGTCAAAATTTGACTGAAGACTCATTAAAAAATAATTTGGTCGGATCATTGATGATAAGGTAAAAAAAATACAAAGAGAGGATAATCTCTTTTTTTTTACTTAAGCTGATGTAAAGCCAATTCCTAACAATGAAACAGAAGATGTAAGTCACCAGCCTGAGAGTCCCAATGAAAATGAATTTATAAGTGATGCTTTCTCTGATAATAATATGGATGAAGAAGCTTTGAAGAAAGAAATGGAATTACTTGGTGTGAAAGAAGGTAAAATCGTTTGTTTTTTTTTAACTTTGATACAGTTGTAAACACAATATATATTGTAAACACAGAATATAGCAATTAATAATGGAAGCCTTGAATAAAGCACACATACCAGTATACTGATATATTTTGGCCAATGGGTATAGCTATTGCTCACATAATCATTGGTCTGTCCCACTGTAAATATCATGAGTTTTTTATTTGATAAGGAGTCAATATAAAATGTCATTTAAGCACTTTTTGAATTACGTCAAATATTATTAATTACGTATTATTATTAAAAGGTATGTTATTCACAGCTTGGTTCTCACAAAAACAATTTTTGACTTACTCCTTTTGGACATTCTATAATCATCTGTAGAAAAATTGATCCATTTTTGCTAATATGATATAAATTTTATAAAAGTATTAAAAGTAGATCGTTAATGGAATAGCGCCTCTTAGAATGAACATAAAATTTAATTTAAGAGTATATATTAGTGGACTTACATGGTGTCAAAACTATACATCAGAATCCGTGTATAATCCAATAAATTTATAAAATCAAGTAGTTATCCTTAAAACTATGGAATTATTTTAGTTGTTTATGTATTTATCTGATTATACAGGCATTATGTTGTATAGTTATGACACCAGGTTAGTCCAGTGATGAATATTGACTATAGCGGTAGTATCTTTTTAAATGACAATTAAAGATTGTATAATGTGCTATAATTTTCTTTTATAGATGATGCATGGGAAAAGGAATTACAACAAGAATTACAGGAATATGAAGTGGTGGATGAGAGTGGTGCAGATATGGAGGATGATTTAGAACAGGAAATATTAAAACAGATTGAACAGGAAGCTAATATGATATCTTGAACAGTCAAGCATGTTGTTGTTATTTGTAAATATGTTGTAAACAAGAGGAAAATAATGTTAATATTCTTTATTACATCAAATTTAAAAAAAAATTATGAATTACTGATTGCTATAAACAATGAAATTGTATTTTAGCTTAGTTCATATCATTGATAAGTAACCAAGTCGCATAGTTCCTAATTTTGTGCTGTGAATTTTCTTTTTTGTGTATTTTTGCAAGACTGTCCTAAAATCCTGATGGGCTCTGATATAATGGTAAAAGGATTCAATTTTTCTTGATATCTCTAAATGTAAGGAAATGTTATCCCAATGTTTCATAGACACTTTTATTACGTAGATGCTAACATGTCAGTGAAAGGGATATAGTAATCTCCTTAATGTGCACATTGATTTAGCAAAGATTACCATCTAAAATGGGTAGTTGCTTCACCTGATATTTCTCTGTAACACTTTTCAAAGTAAAGATTTTGGATGTAGTTCATTTTCAAAGAAAAAGAAAAGTCCACTGTCAAAGTCAAGACATTATCATTGTTCTTGTATGCATTTAACAGTGACAAGCGATATCTGAGATGGGGTTCTCTCAGGTAGTGAAAAAAAAAAGACGTAGTTAAATTAAAAAGTAACAGCCTGTGATAAGTAACTTATAATATGATGTTAATTTTATTTAATGTATAAATTTAGATATTTTGTGTAATTATTTTGTTTGGGGTTCAGAAAATGATTTTTGTCTGATATTTCAAGAATGATGTTAATAGTTTGTAATTTATTGTGTAAATTCAAAATTAGGGTCAAAGGCTAAGCTTAATTGTTGTATAGGGATTTTTATTAGTACAATTAGTGGTTTACAAATTCTTGAAAAAGGCATTGAAAGAAATAATAGCAGAACTGAATTATCAATGTTTTCTCTTTTAGTATTATCAAGCACTGCATTTCCTGAATACTTGCATCATTGACAAAATTCTGCTCCAGATTTGATTCTACAAATATGTAACACTTAATCCAGGGGCCTTTTTCTCAAAAACTTAGATATCCGATTGGATGATAAACAAATTTTAAAATCAATATTAGTGATTGACCAATCAGATTATTGTAACACTAAAATCATCTAAAGTTAAGTTTTCAAGAATAAGGCCCCAGATCATCAAATAATTTTCTATTTCATGTTTGCTTGTTGGTTTATAGTGGTAAATAATTTAAGGATTTTGGAAACACCAAATAGTTTTGATGTAGTTTAAAGCTGGATATGACCAATAAAGGGACTCAAATACAACATTGTGTTCATTTTCTTCCTTAACCATTTGCAGCAAAATGTAAAAAAAGATAGAATCTATGAAAATTACGAGTGCCACACTGAAAAGAGCTGACAAGGCCTTGGATTGTTTTCTTCCAGATAATACAAGAATTACAGTGTCATTCTCTCTTTATACCTCATCAACAGATGAACATTCTCATTGTTAAAATAGCTCTGAATACAATTTTAGAGTTTCATGCCATGCAATCCCCAGACAATTGACCTATTTCATCCTGTGTCCCCACAGATGTTTCATTAAGTGAACAGAACTGTGTTGTGGTAAATGCAACAGTGAACATGTCGACCAACATTAAATTCAAAATATATATATTCTATTGGAAATCCATTATTGACAAATTGAATTCATTATTGAAGCCTTGGGTAATAATCAACAAGTTTGATCAAGGCCTCTTCTACATTTATCAGTACTCAGTACCCATGGCTCATTTATACGTAAATTAAAGATTTAATTTGCAAAAAGGGTTTATCAAAAAGATATTTAATATAAAAGAAGCCTATAGAGATACAGACAGACAGAATTTTAGTTTGATCTTATCAAATTAGATGGATCTATATATTAGTGCAAAAAATTTTGATTTGTTTATTTGAAATAATATATTTCCCTGTTTATACAGCCTTAGGCTAGCCTTTTATATTCTATAATTATTTAATAGGCCTTGACTTTGTGTTGGCTTTTCTCTACAGATATGTGAATATTTATTGCTTGATAAGAAGGTTAATTGCCCCGATTTGGACGAAAAATGGTAGCAAGACAGTACTGGAATAGATAGAATTTAAAAGTAGGTGACAGGTCAGTTGACACAAGACTGTTCTAGAAACAATGTGTATAAACACTAAAAAAAGTAGTACACATAATTACAGCCTTGACATTGGAACATAACTGCGTTTATAAAATGTAAACAGAACGACCCAGGTTAACAATGAATCACATTCAAGGCTGTCCTATTAGTCATCCAATCAAAATAATTCATTCATTATAATCAACCAATCATTTAGCTTTATGCTTATTTTTGACGGCTGCAGAATGACGAAGCCACGCCTACTTCTACAAAACCATAACAAGACCGGCTGTAACTTGGTGTCGAAGAATCCATGTTAGCACTCTAAATTCAGGAAAATAGTGGATGACAGTTTTGAAATTCTTGTTTACTGTGGAAAGGATAACTAATTAGTTATGCCGCAACATAAAAATCAAAAGAACCATCGTCATAAGGACGAAGATAGACACAACAACAATATTGAGCGACCTGTGCAAAATCAAAACAATAATGGCGGCCAAAGAAGAAATAACAATGCTGAACACAGAATGGCTAAATGTTGTTTTCCGAATGGATGTCGAGAGTCTGAAAATTTGATAGACCCAGAAGAGGCTTTAGATGCTGTCAAAGTTATTTGTAATAATGAAAATTGCACCATTGGAAACTGGATGCATCGTAGTTGTTTTGATGAGTGGGAGGAATCTGTTCTTTCTTATTTGCGTTCATGTGGAAGAGCAAGAAGCTGGAGTGAAAAGCAAAGATTGCAGAATCTGTGGACTAAGAAAGGCTATGACCTAGCATTCAAGGCGTGTGATTGTAAATGTGGAAGGGGTCATCTGAGGAAAGATTTAGACTACATCCAACCTACTCCATCTGTAGAAATTACAAAGGCAAAGAAAAAACATAAGAAGAAGAATGACAAACCATTGCCTGTTGTAAGCACAAACCACAAGACTGTCAACAACCAAAACCACCCTTCGAATCATAGCCCAAATACTGCTGTACCAAGTGATACCAATGGTAACACAACTTCAACACCCATCAAATCATTAATACAATCAACAGCTCATCTACGTTTGAGAACCGATAGTGTTAGTAGCACAGGTAGTAGTCCACCTAATTCTGCCAGTTCTGAATCACCACCTAATTCAGCATCACCTCTGAGTAATGCCAACTTATTCCTGAAAGGAAGACGTCTTGATGGAATGGTACATGATCATAGCCATATTGGTATGCCTGGTAATATATTTAGACGCAGACAAGATCTGTCAGCTTTCAGCATGCTACCAAAATTTAAACAGAATCCATATTATATCAAGATGGAAGATGATGGTCCACATGGTAATGATGATACAAGAAGTTTTGTCCTTTCCAATCTGAGCTCACGTAAAATGTCATCATTAAGATGTGTTTTATGTAAAGATGTTTTACCAGTATTTGATAGGTATCCATTGATAGATGGTACTCTGTTTTTATCACCACAAGCATATGACGAGGCTGTTGTACAGGTTATATATGAAGGTAGAATACAGTTTTTAAATGCTTGTTGTGTCAGATGTTTAGATGGTCATTCAGATATTAGATGTACATCATGTAAAAAGTTATGGGATGGTAGTGCCCTATTGTTGGGAACAATGTATACTTACGATATATTTGCTGCCATGCCATGTTGTCAAAAGCGGTTGACTTGTAAATACTGTCGTCGTGCAGTAGTCGATTTACATATAGGACTAAATTTTTATAGTCAATATAGCCAAATGACCATTTGTCCTTATTGTAAAGCTAACGACTATCACTTTATTCGCCCCATGACTGAAACCTTTATGGTGAAAGAATCTATATGTGGTGTCCATTATTAATTATTTGTATTACTATTATATATGGTACTAGTCTTTGTCCTTTCATATCAATTATTTAACCATTTTTTTACAATCCCACTAAATGTTTTTATGGCGATTTTTAAGTGGATTTCTAAATTTGTTATGCTTATTGCAGACACTGATAGCATCAATTTGCACCATTCCAAAATTTCAATCAGACGTCTCTGGTTCATGCAATTCCACTAAAACTATGTGTCACCCCTGCAAAATTTGTATCACATAAGAACTTTGCAGGGGTGACTTCATAAAACACTTTTAGTGGAATTGCTAGAACCACAGACGTCTGATTGAAAATTGGAATGGTGCAAATTGATGCTATCATTGTCCCATATACAAATAAAAAATTTAGAAATCCTCCTTAGAATCCCTTTAAGATTTGTCATGATGGTTACTGCCAATTAATTTGGTACTTAATGCTTCAGAGGTCAAAAACTATAATTATGTGTTTAGTGGGATGATGCTATCATTTCAACATTATGTATATATATGTTCATATCATGTAATGTCCATTGTTCTTGGCAAGGAGGGTTGTTTTCTATGAGTGGACCATTCCTCACTTACTTAAAAGGAAAGTTTGATGAGGCAGCTTATTTGTATGTTTTGTAATCAAGTATATAGTCAATTTGAGCATTGACGTTAAAAATTTTCGTTACATTATGGTCATTTCTGTTATATTTGATATATTGCTACAGATATTTTGATTGGTAAACAACCAATGTAGATATTCATTTTTCCCTTTAATTTTCATAGTCTTAATAGCATCAAATTAGTGCTGTCTGTTGCTAAATGCAATGTGACCTTTGATTTCCCATTACAAATGTGACTTTAAGTTAAAATGGTTTTGGTGATCTTCAGTAATGTATTTGGCAAAAATTATGTTTCTTTGTTTTATACTTTCAATATTTGTATTTTGAAATCCATGTCTCAACTGCTGAATTATTAATCGCTAATTATGTTAGCTTTATTCTACGACTTGCTTTCTTAATTATTTTCTTGTATGGGATTTTCTCCCTTTTCCTATTCAGGTGTTAAAAGCACAATTAAATAATGGTGCTCATGAACCATGTGTTTTATTGAATAAACCCCATTAAAAGCCCAAAAGTCTTGAAGGGCTGTATGATGAGCAAAATGTCTTTTGCATAATGAAGGAAACCACAATTGATCAAGACTTCGGTCATGTTTCTTGTGAAGGATTCATTCTTCTATTACTATTAATGCCTCCATCCATCATAGTCCTCTTCCAAGATGTTCCAAAACCAAATAGGTATTTTGAAGTCAGTCTGAAATAATATAAGTTGGTTTGCTGTGTCTCAACTGATAAAAATGTAACTCTGGATGTTGCGTTTTATGTTCTTTTGCGGATAACTTTCGCAGTTCATAATCTGAAGAAAAATTGTAGATTGGCTTTGACTGTAAGCCTACATGGCGCATTCTTGTCCATAGGTGAGACTTTGCAACTTTAGCAGTTTACTCACCGATAACTATGTTCAGCTGCCTTATCAGATAACCATCTACAGAAATGTGATGTTTGGGAGCTTGATTTACCATGTTCAACCAAACACCAAATTTACTAGAAACTTTATTGATCATATACAAATCGAATTAAACATTCCCACTGATAAACACTAAAAGGAGGAACAAAGACAATATGGACTATACATTTTCACGAAAAGTCCCATTCAACATAAAATACTACTGAAACAGGAAAATAACTTCCTTTTTCATTACTTCAGAAAAAATTTCCTAAGCTAATTGCGAAAAATAAATAACTATAAAAGGACAAATGAGAAAATGACAAAGTTTGATATAACATGGATTTTTGCGTCTGTCACGATTCCACATCATGAAAGCTACTGTAAATAAAAACATTAATCAACTTCATTCATTGCGTTATCAGCAGATGATGTTATATCTGCTGATGGAAGGTTATCTGTAATAACTGATGTAGCATCAGTATTATCTGTTGGTATATCAGTATTATTTGGGGCTATACCAGTGTTATCTGCTGGTGTACCAGTATTATCTGATGGTACATCAGTATTAACTGGTGGTGGAGTGTTGGTATTATCTGTAGTAGTAGATGTAACCTGGTTGTCAGTAGGGGTGATATGTTTGATAGTACTGGAGGGTGGTGGTGGGTTGACATCACTACTAGAACTAGGTATTATATCTCCTGTACCATTAACCACTGTTTCATCAATATTACTGCTGGATTCTGTTAAATAGATAATTATAAATTATTTCCAGCAAAAATATTTATTCTAGTCTCTGACACTGTATTGTAATGACACTTTTTAGATAATCTCAAGGGGAGATAACTACTATTGTGAATATTTCAATCTAATATTTGAGGTCATGGCAATAATTACTGAAATATTAATATACACCAGCTGTTCACAGCCAGGGTTTTATAAATTGTTATTTTTATTCATTTAAGTCTGGATTGTAGAGAACCTTTCGTTGTTACACTATTCAAAACAACAAAAATTAAAAATTCTTACAAATGATACAAATAAAACTGATAAATTATTTTACCTGGTTCCGAAATTGGGGCTTCAACACTCTTTTTACCATGAAGTTCATTTTGTAATGCTCGACATAAAGATTCTAATTTGGTACATTTGGCTTGTAACTTAGCTTTATCTGCATCTTGCTTTTGTTTCTAAAAATATAATACACAGTTAAAAATCAATACTGTTCAGCAAGGAAAAAGTTCAGAATAAATAAATTACATTTTTAAATGAAAATTTGTATTAGTCTGCAAATTTTCTTGCAAATCCATGTAATCCTGATGCACATATGTGGTGACAATATGAGATCCCATAGACAAAGGAAGAGTCTGGAAAGAAATTGTTCTAGCAAAACTATATATTTTGTCAACAATAATGCAAGATATTGGTGACATTTTGACACTAGTTTTTTTCATGAAATTTAAATAGATCTTACCTCTTCTACCATATCTAATAAAGCTTTATTACAACCATGCCATTTAGCCTTCCATTGAGCACCTTCTTTTTCTAACTTCTTAATACGTTTACTCATCTAAAATGAAATAGAAATTAAGTTTATTGGTATAATTTAATGAACTATTTGAATTCTGATTAGGTTAATCAATTGAAATGACAATTTCACTAAATCAAAGACATATAAAATAGTCTAACAATTCAAGTTAGAAATTTACAAACCATACCTGAACTTGAGTTATTGAAATATTTATTTGGTTGATTAGGTTTTAATCATAGTTTGCTAGTGAAAATGTGGCTCCTCGTAAAGATAGTCTAAGAAAGACCGATGTCATGTAGTTTGGTTGACATAATACTTTAAACACATTAAGTAAGATACATGATTAATTTCTATGTAATAGCTAACAGATCAATGAAAGAAGGTACTCTTCAAATATGTTATTAAATATAAGAATTATACAAACTGTCCTATAAAAATTAATTACCTTATCCATCTCAGTTTTAAACTTTTGAAACATATCATTACTCTTATTGATAGTAGATTGAAAATCTTCATATCTATCTTTATACATACCAAGCTACAGAAAAAATTAAAGTTTTAAAAATGTAAACTGTTACAGTTGGTAAGATATCAGCTGGTGAAAGGAATCCTTGATATCTTCTCTAGCTTCTTCTTTTAGCCCTAGCCTACATCACTTTAGCCCGTTTCAATCTTGGATATGGTCAGTCATTGCTTATTTGACAGGTTTGTTTCCTCTACTTTTTCGGAGAAAGTTACTAGTCTATCACATACATGTGTAATATAGCACATATCCTTAGATATCATAAGCAGCTCTTGTGATAGTCACATCAAACAATGTTTTCTTATGGTGGAATTACAAGATCCACAGAATTTAGACTAAAAATTGGAATGGTGCATATTGTTTCTATCAATGTGCCCTATCCACATAAAAATCTCTTTAAGAAGTGTGGAAATTATTACCTGAGTTTCTAACATTCCTGATTTCTTTACCGATTCTTCTGTCTTTTGTAGTAACTAAAATTACAAAGATCCAGTTATTAATAATGATACCAGATTAATTGTAAAAGATACAAAATAGGAAGTCAACATACTTCAACACAGAAGAGTTTAATAGAATAACAACCATAACCAACATGAAATATTGCTACTTAACTTTACAACTAAGGACATTACAAAATCTTTGTTGTTGAGGACAAATAATATCCAGAACTCTTGTGCTTTGAAAATTTCTAACAAATCCATGTTTTTCTCAGTAATTCTGTTAAGAATTGCGCTTGACAATTTGTAAGAAAAACAGAAATGTATCTCTCATCAATCCAATACTTACAAGTTCTTTTTCTTGTTTACCACGTTCTTGTTCTTGTTTTAATAAAATCTGGGCTTGTTGTAATTTGGCTTCAGATAACTGTTGTTCTATTTCTTTATGTTTCAATAATTTCTCTAGTTTCTGTCAATAATTAAAACAATAATCCTTAATCCTATATACATGTATATAATAGCAAGTGATGTTGCAATTTTGTTGTGCTTGCAACTTGATTCATTTCTATATATTGACCATAATATTAGCCAAACTAACAGACATTTAAGCTATATTTTCTGTCATGTCTGGCAAAATAAGCAATCAATTTTATATAAATGCTTTTAAGTGTAAAAGTATCAATGGAAGAACATCTTAATGTTTTAAATGCTATAAGATGGATGGTTAAGTTTTAAAATATTCTTTAATAACAGCAAATATGATCAGAATTGCCTTCCACTTGTATACAATATAAAGTAAGATTTTTGAGTAAATTTCAGTGTATTTTCAATAGTATTTCCTTACCTCTTCCTGCAACTCATATTTTTCCATAAAGTTTTTTAATTTACCAGCTAAATCAGCATTTTCCTCCCTTAATTTAGTATGTCTATCATGATTTTCTTGCATCTGTTGTTGTATTTCACCAATAGTTGTCTGGAAGATAGAGTAATTTTGATAGAAAGGAGGTCAAGGAAGTTCTACAGAATAAGATGGTGACTTGGGGAATGTAGATCACAGCCTGCCCCTTTCAGAACTAGGTAGGATTCAGAAAGACCATCCTCAGGAAACAAAGGAACTCAATCAGATCATGTTAAGCAAAGGGCAGCCTTTGTAATGTAACAATAAGTAACTAACAGTACAGGTATCATAATACTTACTTGAAATTTAGAAGATATTTCTTTTCTTTTTTCATCTTCTTCTTTAGATCTTTGTATACTTTCTTCCTACAATGCATTCATTGGTGTTAAGAAATTCAAAAGTTTCATATATTACAGTCGAGTAACCTAATTTCGTGGAAACCTATTATTCGTGGATTTCCGGAAAGGATTAATAATTTACGTGAGCGACCTTGCGCAACCTCCGCATTAGTTTGTTTTAATAAACATGGGTTTTCTGTACAATATCAGCTAGTAGAATGAATTCAGTAGTTTCAAGCAAGGTAAAATGTATTAATGTGTACTTTGACAAATACAAAATGGCGGATCTTAGTTATTACCAAACGTCACCATTTTTTATCAGCCGAATTTCCTTATAATCCCTAGCCGTAATCGGAATTCCAAGTGTCGTCTGCTAGAATGTAGTCCAACGAATGAAGTCACGTGATCAACTAGCGGATTTCGTGTCAGCAGAAAATTTCTATGGAACACAAAGTGGACCATATTCTTATGTTGTATCAGTGACTTTTATCAATAAATCACGCTACGTATCTTATTTTGTCAGTCACTATTTTTTTTTTAAATCGTGGTTCTTTGAAGGAATTGTCACTAATCAAAATGAATTGATATTAAAGATAAATACTAAGAGAAGTTAATTATACCACCCGGTATCCATACAATGTGGTTTTCTAGACTTATTTATAGTTCAAACATTGTACACGAAAATAGGTGACGCATTCTGACGCCGTTGCCGAGTTGGTTGCTCATGAAATATGGGTCAAAGTGAAGGATTCATAAAGAAAATCAAAATAAACCAATTTTAATTATTTTGTAGAAAATCTGAGGAAACATCTAAGACATAAAATTTTTTTTTTTGTTTTTTTAATTTTGACGAAATTCGGTGTTGAATCCTTATATCCACGAAAATAGGTTACACCACTGTATAATCTATACACCTACTGATTATTCACTACTCTATAAGTTATACATTTTTATAGTTAGTAATCTATAGCTTGTGAAAAAACTTTTTTCACTTTGTCCTTCCAACAAGTATCATTTGTTTAGCTAAAATATTCATACCTTAATAAGTTTATTATGCTTCTGTAGTTCACGACATAAACTCTCTAATTTACTTTTTCCCATAACAGCTTTAGTATGTTCTGACTGTATCTGGTCTTTTTCTCGACTTATCTAAAATATAACATTGAAAAAATTATAATATTACATCACATAGCCTTCTAAAATCTGACCCCACCTCTTATAAGGCCAGTTTATAGTATCATTTCCATCAGGTGTAGCTTGTTATTATAATTTTACCCCCTTGCCTTGAATTTCTAGGGCTGTGTATACATATTGTTCATATCAAATCAGGTAGATTATAGTCTGCAAGTCATAGATTATTAAATATCTTATATCTCCTATAAGCAAGAACAGTTTTTATGCAAACTCTATGCTTTATTATCATGTTTTAAATGATGGCTCCATTTATTCTGTATGCCCTTTTCGCTAAAAGTGATTGTAATTAGGTTTGAAGAAATATATATTTAAACAATTTGAACACTTACAACTGACATGCGTCTCTGAGCTTGTTTAAATGAAGATTGTAATACTCTATGTTCCTCATGCAAATCAGCATATTTCTTACATAAAGCAGCTAACTTCTCTTCTGTAGTTTCCAGACTACTTAAGGCACGTAAGATATGATCTGAAAAAAAAACATAATTAAGTGACATTAACATGATCTAACATGATAACATGTTCTTAATGAAAGGCAATGTTTAGAAAGATTCTCCTAAATTCTTTAAGATTATTCTCAAGTTTCTGAATTATATAACAGATGTAAAAGTCAGATATAAAAGTACTAATTCATATAAAATTGGATTGTTGAGATATATCCTAACTCATTAATGCAAAACCATATTACTCCTAAATCAGTGTTAACTGTTACTCTATATTAGTCTTTCAGTCACATGCAACACTTAAAGAGTTTAATGAACACATTCACTATTGACACTTATTATGTTTATATTCTAAATTACACTTCAAAAAATTATTTTTTATCAGTGATACCTTAAGTGATAAGCTCGTAAAAGGGAGACTGTTCATGCAAATCACTGGTTAAAATGGGGCCTGATTTGATTCAGTGAAACATAAAAAATTCATGCCAACTTTCAGGTGTGGATTATGAAGCATGCTAGACTAAATCACGACTTTGAAAAATCTGTAGATTGTTTTAAGAAAATGCAAAAATAGCTATATCTTTATCATATCCAAATAATCTTATCAATGATTACTTGCTTAAAATGACAATTTTAGACAATTACCAAGTAATTCCGAATCAACAATTCCAGTTAACAAAAATATTCAAAAATGCAAAAACTAGAACATCTAATACTATAATTACCAATACCCTTATCTTCCTTTTTCTTACTCTTCAACACAGATCCACCATTTTTTATCTTCCCATTATCTTTTCCATTTTGTTTAGTGGTAGGTATTTTATCAGTTGTTGGCGCCATATCAGACAAGAGATCAGTATCTTCTGTTGTTTCTGGTAAACTTATTGGTGCTTCAGTTTCCTGTTAATAGATCCAATCAATCATTAAGTGACATTTTCTTAAAGATTGATTTTATATAATATAATACTTGGTATAATATACAAATATCTTTCAGTGGATATATAGTCAACAAAACAAAATGGCAAAGGAAACCTGATTTATACCTTGTTCTTAAAATACATGTAAAATTTATCCTACAGCCCTAGGAGTTATTCAAATATCTTGATCCATCAATGTCTACTCTTTCTATCATTGTAAAGCTGAATTTGCCAAGTGTTGGATATTACCAACCAACAAGGAACTGAGTTGGGTTAGTTTTATCCTCAATGACCTGATAATGGGATCCTATCTATTAGAAGCATCTCTGGACCATAAAAATACTACTATCACACAACTGTTCAAAACTAAAAATACACTAAGAAATTACCTGAATATCAACAGAGTTATCCAAAATAGCAACTTCTTGACTTGTTGGTAATTCCTGGGTAGGGATCAATGTTTCACCTTCAGTAGCCATTGAAATAATATTATCTTCAATAATATCTTCTTGTAATAAAAAGGGTGGTGAGGTCAGATGCAGTGAGTCAACAGGTTCTTCAACTTGTTCAACTACTATTAAAACTTGATTACTAAACTCAGTATGGTCTTCGGTATTTTGACAATGATCAACACTACTACATGTACTATTTAGTAATTGACTGGTTTCTCCAACTACAGTGGCGTCTTGTTTTTCAGTTTTTGTTAATTCTTCACCATCACTTTCATTTGTTTTCTACAAAAAATTAACATTTTTGAGTCATAAAGATAAACCAGTCCTATAAAGTACAGTGTGGGTGTCTTACAACTTTAAGTATCATTCAACCAAACTTTAATGCATAAATACCCTATACAAAATTTTGAAATGAAGTTATTGTGCACTACTTATTATCATTATGTAATATTTTATGAGCCCAGTCAGGCTTAAACCAAATTCCAGTATAGTCTAATCATTTTAAATTTTGATTTCATAAAAGTTGCAATTATAAATATTTCACTCCAACAAATGATGTCTTAAATAACATCATATTATAAAAATAAAATAGGATACAATGGATCAAGCTATTTCTAGACTAAGAGGTTCATCGATCCAGAAACTTACAGAGACTCAAGAGTTTCCTAATATTTATAGATTTGGCAAAAAATCCTCAATTCAAAACAATATATAACAGTAAACAATTTGATTGGTATATCCATGTGATAATTTCTAATCTTGGTTAATCATGGGAAAAGTTGGATTGCAAAATGGGGGGTTTTTGACTTGATTATTGCAGTAGAGCAATGAACAATTACCAGATTTGAATATAAAAATCTTTTCATAGACTTTGCTTTAATTTTTTCTAATTCATTCAACAAGAAACATTATTTGGCACCATTATAGCAGTAATACATGTCATGTGTTTTTTTTAAGCCAGTGCTTTTATAAAAGAGTATCTTCTATAAAACCCGATGCCATCATTTTTCTTATCTAATGAGAAACTAACATCTTAAAACTTGCAACACAAATTTATCTATACATAACATCTTATTTGTAAACCTTTCATTACCATAGGAATTCTGATTCACACTTTGGTTATTTTTAGACTCATAAAATTCCACCAGATAAAAACCACACAAAAATGAAATGATCTGAGCTTACTTCATTGCAACCTGCTGCTGATAAAAATGTAGAAACAGCAGATCCCATAGCTTTTAATTTACAATAAATCCTAATTCCATATTTTAAGTACTCTAGCACATTACTGGATAAATTCCAGGTCAAATTGCACTTTACATATCAGACCAATGTCCATATATTCCAGTCAGACTGTGAACACGTGGTACAGGTAATTGAAATAAAAATCAGAAATCCTAATGTGCAAACAGCATTCTGAACACATTCCTACCCATATGACTCTTCCAAGTTTTCTTAGTAAAGACATCCTGTAGTTTAGTGTATAAGGAAATTTGATATGCTTTCTCTACTGTTATACATTACAGCCTGTGTGTATATCAGTGAAAAGAACAGGAGGTATAATAATCTACCCAGAATAGTCACGTCTCAGCATGTTCACATATAGAATTACCTTACTATGAACACTGATTATATCATAATCATTAACTTATAATTAATGATATAATATTAAGATGTAGAGGTTCTATTACATACTAATAAATCAGGTTATAGCAATATCTAGTCTACCAGATTGAAGTAGGACTATTAGAAAGGTAGAAGAGTGGTAGAGGTAATATCAAATTACTATGTAGCAGTTCTGGTACTGCAGTAGTACTCTCTCTCCATACTGTCAGACAATGGCATTATCAATGGTACTGATATATTCTAAACTTATCTGCTACTTGTAGAAGCAAGTTCAAAGTATCTTAGGCAGAAAACAATTAATCATTTGTTGTATGGTACTACAAAATGTGTATTGACAATTATTTTACTAGTATCTTACATGTATTTAAACTATAAATGTTAAGATATGATGTAAGCAGCTACAATGAAGCTTGCCAAAAACAAATTTCAGATCTGACAATTAGGGCAGACTACCGATCAAGAATCAATTAATAATCAAAATATTTCAATTGAGAAACCCTGTAAATACTAAATTAAAAAACATGACAAAATTCTTAAGTTCATGAGTTATTTTTTTGTCATAGAAGAACATAATTCCTTTGATTGGTTATTATAGTTTATTGTGAGGTAGTTTTGTGCTGAAGGGAAGAGCTTACGACTTGTTTAAGGCTACAATGGAGAAAATGTTACTAAAACATATAATCGATTAAATTCATAGAGGCAAAAATTGATTATTTTTCTTATTTTACCAAGCCCTACTGACAATAAACTTATTAAGCAATTAAATAATTTGAGTTCAGAATGTGACTTGTCAGAAGTCAACATAATCTAGCAATAACATGAATCAATCTGTGTTCTGTGTCTTATATTTTTAGTTATAGACATCACATGTCACTCTGGAACAATTAAAATTGCCTATGGCTGAGTTTCTATTACATAAATTTCAAGAGACACAAGCCTATTTGTTTCAAATTGTGCAAGTTGATTGTCTCAACTTAAAGGCCATGATTTCACAGGTAAATTTTTCACTGAAAGAAAATTTTGCCATAATGTAATTACACTGATAAAAATTGATGGAAAAATCACCAAAGTGACAAACTTGAAAATTGATCAATAAGCTGAGAATTCTTTTCAATTTTTTACATAAATTTTGTTAAAGCAATTTTGTTATCATTATCCACCATTTCAATTTTCAGCCAGACGTCTGTGGTTCTTGAAATTCCACTCTAACTAAGCATTTTATTAAGTAGTAGCTATCTCAAAACTTTGCCAAATGTCATAAGATATTATTAACAACTTATTTCTTAATTATGGAAACCACAAACATCCAACAGAAAATTGGATTGATGAAAATAGAAGCCATGATTTATTATATATATTGCCCCTGATATTAGCCTTATAAGCTTATCTACTGCTCTGTGAACTGGGCCAGTTCTTTTGCTGAGACTCCTCTCCACATAAAAAAGTCAGAAATAAAACCACTTTACAGTCCCTTTTATAATAACAAGAGCCTTACTTCATAAGCCTTAGGTCTATCAGTTATTAAGCCTTTTTATATTTAAGGCGTGATCTGCAAAACTATTCACATGATGACATAATCACAGATAAATATCTGTATTTTTGAATACTGGATAATTAAATATGATATCCCAAGAATCCTAAGGAGAGGCGGGGAAAAGGGGAAATTATTTCTTATACTGGAAATCTTGATATGATTATGACTCGATTGATATCATCATGATGCTGATGGTCAGGTAAGCGAAGCATGAAGGAACTTGATAAAAACGTACTTCCACCGCTTCCTTCAAGGAATTTGCAGTTGAGTTTTTGAAACATCGAGTAAAATGTACCATACTACCTCCATATTTATCTTTAACTACATAGAAAATATATAACCCAGCTATTTTAGCAGTTATTCACACACTCACCAAAGTTTTAAGGTCGCTGCCATATTGTGTGACGTCAGAACAAGTACTTGCTACAGACCACTAAAATTATGCTTTGTTCAACATAGTCCGAATAGTCTGTTATCAGTGGACAAATTTAGGACTTGGAGTACCAAAATAAGGCTAAATAGCTATTTGCATCACTATTCATTGTGAGCTTATCGGTAGTCTCATCAGTAGACACATGATTCCGCAAAGTTTTGATTCCATTCAATTTTGATGAGCAAGTTTGTTTTGACATTTAAACAAGGATGGGATTCGATTTAATCAGTGGGTCCTCTTGACATAGGTCATAGTGCAGGATTGAAACAAATACCTCGCCTAGAATTGACATCTAGATCCAAAGTAAATTGCTCAATTGGCCATTGGATTGCTATGATGCTTTTGGGTAAACTCTTGCGATTAAAGTTCATATTCGATGTATGTATGATTTTTTCTTTATCATATTTATATCTAGGTCTACTGGTGTAATGTAAATCATAGAACTGTAACAGTAAGGTTTTATGTGTAAATCGACGACAACGACCTATGTCAATAATGTTAACGACGCTACAACTCGAATGCACCTTGGAAACTGCTTGTGTCGAACGCGCTTTGTCGCACTTCCTTAGTTACGAATTAAAAATGGCGGTGTGAGAACATAAACAAATTTATTGAACTTATTTTGATTTTAGATCTTATTGAGAGAAACAGGTGATTATTTTTTATTTAGCAATATTGAACTTATTTTTATCGTCTGTCTATAACACTCTATGGATATTTGTGAACAACATTTATAGAAAGATCAGGAAAGAATGACACAATGTGATTTTTTTACAAATCACATTTCAACAATATTCTAATTTGCCTATGAATTTAAATATTACAGTGAAGCAGTCAGGTTTCTCATTTGCTTTATTGCCAGTCTGTTTGTTAAAATATCTAAGGGCAGTGAAAATGTTGAACTACAATCTGTAGGCTACTTTACACTGATCTTTAATCAATTCAATGTTTGGGAGAATTCCCCAGTCACTACTACTGCATCTGGAGACCCTAAAGACATGTTTGACATATCTCAACACATGGTCATATTGTCATTGTTATCTTTACCTTGATGACTTGTGTATTTCGTTAGCAACCAATTTAACCTCTTCAGAGACAAATTTGTAGACATATTTTTAATGATATTGCAAAACTGGTTGATCTTTACCTGTTAGCCTAATGATTATCCTAGCCTCTTCAAGTGATCAAAACTGGAAATCCTTGTAAAAGTTATTAATCGAAATCAAGAATGAATTGAAATTCAAAACAACATTTGTATGGTGGCCTCTCATACCTTTTCGGGTTATTTCTCTTTTCACCATCTGTAAAAAAGAAAGCTCTAGCGGCTGCTATAAGTTTTTGCCATGTGGATGATTAGGAAGGTTTTCTAACTAACCCTTACTTGGTCTTGAATATTATAACCTTCAAATGACAGAAGCTGGTGAGAATCAGTTTTAGACTAGGTCTGTAGTGAAGTTGAATGTACATATTCGAACTCAGTATTATGAGGTTAGAAATGTTAAAAATGGCCATTACTCAATATTGACTAAAAGAATAATGTAAATCAAAATATTACCCCAACCAAACAAAATGTAGGTCTAAAATTTTCACTGGCTGTATGTATTGAAATTTAACCTTACATAGTTCTAACCTCCCAGTGCTTAGAATTAATTTTTGGAATTCTTATTTTAGCCATGGCTTCAGGAGGGAGTGAAAAAGAAGTGAATCCTGTAATGGACTATGTGAGTGTGACTAATAAATCACAGCTAACAGCTGATACAGAAGAATTGATCAAATCTCTACACATGGATCCTTATGATGAGGATGAAGTAAGTTTCAGTTTTATTGATGTGGTTTAAGCTTATTATGTTCTGGAATTTGTGTTGATATAATATTCCACCGGTACAAATTCAAAAATTGTTTTCCTCAGGATCTGAAAATCTGAAATAAATAAAGCTTTTAGCTGTACCTAAACTTATTTAACAAACAATTGAAAAAAAAAATCACAGAAAATATTAAATTGTAAGCTTATGCAAATCGAAATATCTCAGGTGCAATTTATTCTGTATTCAGATGGATTTATTTGGATTTTGTCACTTAATTTACTGCATCTTCCTTTGCAGACTGAACTACGATTTCTACATTCCAAACCAACATGTTTTATTGTTGTTGGTAAACCTGGTAGTGGTAAAACTAGTCTAGCCAGAAGATTAGCTTTGGAATGGAAGTGTGAATTGATCAATGGTAAGAAGAAATAATGGCCTTTTGCAAATCTATGCTCTTTCATAGCTGTATAATGATAAACCAAATTATTGAAGCATGTTAAACAACAGCCGGATATACTTTTCAATCCTAACCAGACAAATTCTATCATGTTTTCTGAGAGACATAGCTACAAACATTGTCTTGTGGCAGTCCCATGGTAATTTATACCCAACTTATACCATGACCACAGTTCTATAGTTTCATTAGTTTGCAAGTTTGCATTAGTATTTCTATAATTTTGCTGTCCTGGCAAAATTACACTATAGCACACTGCATCCTTGAGTCCAGTTGAGAAGAAAAGGGGAAGGATAATTTCATTTCAATTTGAGAAAAATGATGTTCTTCTCATAATAAATTTGTGACATCACTCACACTGTCAATGAACATAATTTCTTGAATAGTGAGCTGTAAAAAAATATCCTACAGGTACCGTAATTTTAATTGACAAAAACACAATTTTTTTGTATTTTTCAGCCAGTGAATTGATTAATCAGAATATTGAATTACAAAGTGATATGGGTATAAAGTTTACAGAAATATTAAATAGAGGTGAAGCTATACCAGAATCATTAGTTATTAAAATGATTGAAAATAAAATCAACTCTCCAGAAGTAGCTCATCATGGTAATTAATCTTATTTATTTATTTTATTAACTTTTCACTACTGCTTAACTTCTGTAATAGAACTTGAAAGATGTTTATGCTCATCTTGCTGTTGTAAAAGGGGCAATATTTGCAGGGTTAGGAATTGATACATGTTTTAGAAGGAATACTGGTGATTTTTTTTTTACAAGGAATCTACTTTTGTTGTACCATTATTCTTGAATATGTTGAGCTCTATGAAAAAAAAATTGATTGTACTTTTTGATTCTGTCAAAATTTCTCTCATACTGCGTTGTGTGATAATTAACCCAAACTGAAGTAGAAAACTAGGACAGTTAACTTTTTTTTCAACAGGAACAGAAAAAGTGACATTTAATTTATTTTTCATTGAATTTCTCTATTGTAGGTTATGTACTGGATGATTTCCCATCTATATCAGAATCTTATTTGAGTGTTAGAGATCAATTAGAACTTGTTAAAAATTGGAAATTACGGCCAGATTTTATCATCAATATAAAGGTATTTGGCTTTTACAAATACACAAATTTCTTTTTTTAATTATTACATGTTTGACAATCATATCTAACTGGGGCCTCAAAATGTCATTTTATTTTTCGCTAATCAACCTTTTGAGGTTTTTCACTGGATTCATACCATTTATAGCTAGGTCAATTGGAAATACAACTTATTCAAAAATTCACCAGATTTTCACAGCGAAACTGATGAAATTTACCAAATATGTTTTGGAAAACCACTTGTTCATGTTACTGTGTATTTTAGATCCCTGATAAAGATATAGAGAAAAGAAGAATTGGACAGAAAGTTGATCCTGTAACTGGTGATGTTTATACTAAAGATGTTTATGCTCCAGATAAATCACTGAAAATGGTAATAATATCTATAACATAGTATTGTCAAAAAGTTGTCAATGTAATAAAAGGAATGCCAGATTTAGGAAAGAAATTTCTGAGTGCCAAACACATAGTAAAATAAAAATCTAGTTTTAGCGGAAAACAGGCTCATTCTTGCTTGAAACATATTATTTTGACTTTGTCTTCGATTTTGAGTTTATTTGAAAAGGAAAAAAATATATGATAATTTTGATTTTTTTTTTTATAAATAAGCTTACATCAAATTTTTTTCTAAGAAAATATAAATGTTGTAGATGTCTGATAAAGAAGGGGAAGAAGAAGGTGAAGAGGAAGAAGAAGAGGGAGATGAAGAAGTTGGTGAAGAGGTAAACACTTTTTCTTGGAAAAAATTTCACGTCAAATTTTTTTAAAAGGGTTGTGCCTTATTTTTAGTAAATGGCAGAAATTTCTTGGAGGAAAGGAAGGGGTGCAAGTTATACATGCTAGAGCACTATATTTACAATTATACAGAAGCTTTATATGTTTAAGGTACTTGTGGCTAAAACATGTATTCCATGGCTTGTTAACAGGCTGGATTTGAAATCCCATGTACTGTAGACTGTGGTTTATATCAAAGGATGGAAAAAAAAAGGGCAAATTATTGCACTAGCCTATCAACGATATGTACATTTGTCTAGCAAAGGGCAGAGAGATTTTCAATTTTATTACAAAAAGACCATTACATTTTTCAGGAAATTGAAGATGATTCTTTACCAAGTGAGATACTAGGAAGATTAATAATAAGACCAGAAGATTTAGAACAACAAGTCGATGAAAATATTCTCAAATTTAAAAACAATATGTTGAGAATTTTAGAGGTAAGCCAGAATACGTCACTATAGTTGAGCAATAATATTATTGGACGTTAATTGCTCTTTGTGGCAATTTTTAAGAGATCATCACAAATTTTGTTATATATACTTTTAATTTATAAGTGTTATTAGATTAAGTCAGTAAGGGAAAGTCAAGGCATTTCTTAAAAAAAAGTGAAACCTTGATCAGTTAAAAAATATGTTGAAATGCAAAGAATATTTTACTGTTGTCTTGAATTTTAGGACTATATGGCAGATCATGATCAACAATTTTTAATTGAAATGGATGGTAACCAGAATAATGCTGTTCTGTTTAAGGTAAGAACACAACTGATCTTTGGAATTTGGAACTTCAATTGTGTCCATTAAATTGTTATTACAGACATAGTACATGCAATGGGCTGGACTAAAGATGTCAATCAAAACATGTTAGACATAAAAACTTTATTTTCTAATGTAAAACTTCATTCATTTCATTATACTATTAAGAAAAAATTTTTTTCAGCAATTATTAATGAGACTAGGATGTTTTGTGTTGAGAACAGCTGCTGTACCAATCAGACTGTGGGACCCTGAAGATCCTGAAGAGATTAATGAAGATATTGATACAGATGAATTAATGAGACAATTAGCTCCCAAACAGATGATAGCTCCTAGACATAGATGGAGACGTAGTAGATGGCTGAAAAATTGTCCTGTAGCTTTATTTGAAGGCAATATGGTACCAGGAAAACCCGAATTTGCTGTTAGGTTAGTTTACCTTTAATAATACCTTGCAACTTTTCTTCTTTACATTATATTATCATCTTGCCACAAAAGGCTTCCTGGACCATAATTTTGTATTTACAGTGAATATGCAAGTTTGGACTAAGAGCACTAGGCAGTTCAGTGATAGAGTATAAAAGTTTTTTGCTTTCATATACTCATAGGCTCTGTTTAATTTTCTCATAGGTTCCATTCAATTTCCACATAGGCATTATTTAATTTCCACATAGGGTCTGTCCAATTTTCTCATTGTTTCACTGCATTTCAATATAAATAGCTTCATTTTCATCTAATTACCTTATTTTCTATTTCTAGTTTTCTGGACAAGATATATTGTTTATCAAGTGCTGAAGCTATGGAGAAGTTTTTAAAGAATCCTAGACCATATTTACTACCTCCTCAACCTAGACCACCATGTAAATTATCAATCTTAGGTCCACCATTATCTGGAAAAACAACCTTATCTCATTTACTGGCTAATAAATATAGTGCAAAGGTAGGTTATCTTTTAGCATTTCTATTTTTTCATGAGACAGCAGTGGACAATTGAGCTCATTTGCAGATGTTTTCATATATGGATTTAAAATATGCATACAGGACAAATTCAGACCATCTTGATCGGTCAAATTCCCCAAAAAACAAGTTTAAAGATGTTAGTTTCCCAGGGTAATTAATACTACTAAATGAATTTACTATGAACTGAATTTTAGGTTATAGATGTAGATGAATTGATGAAACCTAAATTACTAGAAGAACATAAGAATCATCTACAGAAGGTACGAGATGACACTACAGAAACAGCTATTTTTACTGTTAAAGCTAGATTAAAGGAACAGTTAGAGGCTGAGAGAGAAGGTGAGTTTGTTGAGTTTTTCATAAAATCTATATAAAAGTAAATGTTTTAAACTCTAAAGGCAAATTAGAAATCTCAGAATTAGACATAAACCACAAAGTACCAGTATCTTTAATGTCTTGAAATATGAATACCGGTACCAGTATTTTGGAATATAATCTTGAACATTCAGGTCAACTTTTGATATTCATTTTATTAATAGCAGTTTTGTGGCTTTTTTCTTTATTAATGTGTTATTATTAATTTATATATAGACCTTATGAATAGTGGAATCCCTTTTAAATGATTCATAATTTATTTCCTTGTTTAATTGTTAAATAGACATTATATTAGCAATATATTAAAGGTTGGAAATAATTTGACAAACAAAAATTAAAACTCCCATTATTACAAATGAAATCATCTGAATAACAAATGAGATGATATGAAATGAATGGAGTTTTACATCCTTCTATTCTGCACCTTATTGGCTAATGAAAATTGGCAACGCCCAACTGTCTTGGGATCTTTGCACATCATGCACATCCTCTGAGTAAGAAGCATTGCATTATATAAATTGATGAATTCAAGTCTAGTAAGAAAAAAAACACTCAAATTATTTCCAACTTTATCTGTATAATGATGTAGTCAGATTATGTGGTGTTGTGAGTGAAATGTATTCCCTTTATGTTGTCTTGTATAATTTTCATCCAATCATATCATTATATTAGCTGAATTAGAAGCGAAAGCAGCGGCTGAGGCTGCAGCAGAGGAGAATGAAGATGGTGAAGAAGGTGAAAATGGTAAAACTAATGGTATCTTCATACTAACATAGCATTATCAATATCATATTGAATATGGCTCATTATATTAAAGAAAAATTGTCAAATTCAAAGGCCTTTTTTAAGAATCATGAAAATATACTTTTAATCCTGCTTAATATTTGACAATGATCCACAAGATTATACAATACTTTTGATGACTGGGAAAAGAAAAATATATAGAAATATTTTATAAAAGCCATATTGATATGATTTTATCAACATTTTCATAGAAAGTATTTACACACTGATACTAGTCATTTTTACAGCACTCATTTCATTTTACAGATTTCAAATTTTACTGTGCACATTTCTCATATATTTCAGCTTTCTATCCTGACATATTTCTTCTTTCTATCCTGACATTTCATCTTTCCATCCTGACATTTCATCTTTTTATCCTGACATTTCATCTTTCCATCCTGACATTTCATCTTTCTATCCTGATATTTCTTCTTTCTATCCTGACATTTCATCTTTCCATCCTGACATTTCATCTTTCTATCCTGACATTTCTTCTTTCTATCCTGACATATTTCATCTTTCTATCCTGACATATTTCATCTTTCCATCCTGACATTTCATCTTTCTATCCTGACATTTCTTCTTTCTGTCCTGACATATTTCAGCTTTCTATCCTAAAATCTTTCTACTATCTATCCTTCAATCTATTTAAGCTTTTTTTTTTACTTCAAGCTTTCTGCTCTATTTCAGCTTTTTATCATACTACATTATGTAAACTCTCTATTTTCTATCATCTTCTTGGTTTAAGCTATTTCTCATTCTACATCATGTCTATAAAGCTTATTTTTGTCTATCTTTTAGTTTATTTAAGCTTTTTATCTGTCTATATTTTGTAGCTTTCTATCCTCTGTCTTCTGCTCTTTGTAAGCTTCTATCTTTACTCTCCATCAATCTACCTTTTTTAGTCTATTTAAGCTCTTATCATTCTACATTATTTAAGCTTTCTTTTCCCTATCTTTCATATCCATTAAGCTTATTATTTCTTAACATTATGTAACTATTCTTTCATTCCACTCTATTTAAGCTCTTAAGATTTGTAATAAATGTTTTAAGCTTTCTTTTTCCATCTTAATTCATCCTAGATATTCCTAAATATTTTCCTTGATTTTTTGTATTGATAATTGTTTGATGTTGTTGTGGTTTTGATGAATATAAGATACTACATTAGATATATGTAAAGTGGTTCATGATTTTCATTTAATAAAGCTTTTATATAGTGATATATTATATAATCTGTGATATATTCTGTAGTAATTAATTTATATTGTAACATGATATGGTATCTATTGAATGAAATGTATAATTGTTGTGTAATATGGAATTATTTTCTTTTCCAGATGAAGATGAAAATGATGAGGAGAAACCTGAAACAGGTAGGTTTTGAAATATTTTCTGTCTAGTAGATTAACATGATGGTTATGTTTTTCCTTCATGACATTTTATTTTTAAGGTTTTTGAGTTTTGTTGATTGGTTTATCTTAAAACAAGTGTTAATAGATTTTTAAGTGCAGTTTTTAAAAGAAAATTGTATTTCTTTATTATTTTAGATTCTCCTAAAACAGAAGAAAAACCAGCTGAGGATCCTCCTGGTAAGTATATGCTGTTCTAAATTTATCTTCTAAAGAATACTTTGATTTGCAAAGACCAAAAATTACCATACCATTTTAAACTTGGTCACTATCCGAATGATGTCCAGTTTTGATGGAATATCAGGAATGTGAATCCATTATACAGACTTGGACCAAAGATTGATATTACATCCACATACCATCTTCAATAAGCTTTTTAGTGTTTAGTGGTTTGATGGTAAAGTTTTGAGTGAAATCCAATTGAAAGACCTTGCCTTATCTTTGACTTTGTATCAAAAACTCAGACCATCTTCAATAACAAAAGCTTCTTAGTGTTTTGGTGAGAAATGTGCTCGTAAATGGAATGATTATATACTTTGTAGAGAGTTCTGTACAGCCTGAAAGTGTTAAAGATAAAATCATAGAACCAGAAGTTGATGCCACTCATCCTGAAGTTGTAGCTATAGTTGAAGCTGCTGTGAAAGAAGCTGAAAAACAAGATGTCCTACTACAACCAGAAATATATATAGAGGCTATGGAGGCTGCTATTAAAGATGCTGAACGAGAATTAAAAAAGAAAAATCCAGAAGGAGCTATGTAAGTTGTTCCATCATGTTTCATGAAAAGAATTTACTGCTATTACTTTTCTGCTGATTTCGCTCACAAAGACATGCAGTATGCACTGAGTTGAATTCTGCCAAGGCTGTGGCATTAGTCTACTCTTTTTTTTATTGATTTCAAGATGCCCTTAGCACATAGAACACCATGTCATGTCAGATTTCAGGATTGAGAAGTAAGTGTAAAATGGGAGGATCTTTTTGGATAAATATTTCTGGCATATAGAAAATAATCTGTGTGTGATCTACACACATTAGTTATATCAAAATTTGAATTGTAGTCTAATCCTTCTGGATTCCTCATACGACCATCTTTTTCATGAGCAAAATAATGAACCAAAAGCTGGAGAGTTTCCACATCACTTAAATTTATTCTCAGTTTATCTAGATTGTGAAGATGATAAATATAATCTATATTCTAGAGTTTATCTAGATTGTGTAGATGATAAATATAATCTACATTCTAGTGTTTATCTAGATTGTGTAGATGATAAATGTAATCTTTATTTTAGAGTTTATCTAGATTGTGTAGATGATAAATGTAATCTATATTCTAGAGTTTATCTAGATTGTGTAGATGATAAATATAATCTATATTCTAGAGTTTATCTAGATTGTGTAGATGATAAATATAATCTATATTCTAGAGTTTATCTAGATTGTGTAGATGATAAATATAATCTATATTCTAGAGTTTATCTAGATTGTGTAGATGATAAATGTAATCTATATTCTAGAAATGGAGGTTGGATATTAGATAATTTCCCCAATACAAGAGATCAATGGGCTGTTTGTATTGAGAAGAATATTCTCCCAGATGATGTTATTATATTAAAAGATAACAGTGAAAATGGAGTATGTCTAATGGAGAGATATTATAATCAAAATAAAACTGAAATTGATGAATTAATGAATGTACGACTTGAAAAAGAAAATGCTGAGCGATTGGCAAAAGAAGCTGAAAAGAGGTTGGTCAATTTGATTAGATTTTGATCTTGACTAAATGGTGATGTTTGTGTGCTGTGCAATCTATATTAATATTCTAGTTCTGCAATGCATCATGCTCAAATGTTATTCTCTTGGCTAATGTTAACTTCTGCCTCTGCTTTTGATATAATCTGCATCTGTATTTTTGTTGATTTCTGCAACTGAATTTTTCCATTCTCCATTTCTCAATGGTGCTAAAATTTTAGTGCATAAACCACTATGATTAGTGATGAAGCTCAATCTGATTCCTTAAGTTTTATTTTTACCATTTCAGAGCTCAAGAAGAATTAGAAAAGAAGTTAGCAGAAGAAGCTGCTGCTAAAGAGAAAGAAGATGATGAAGAGGGAACAGAAGGAACTGAAGGAACAGAAGGTAAATTTGTCTCAAGAATTGACAATTTCAATTGAGTAGCCTAAATGTTTAACTTTTCTGTTTGTATCCCAAACAAACTGTAGCGATATATTTGTGGTTTTAGTAATATCTATCTTATTTAACGTTTTGAGAATGCCTGTCATTGTTGCTAAATTTTGGGTGATAATTTGATTATATCTATGACCAGGTGAACCTGAAGCAGAACCAACAACTAATGAGCAACAATCAGATAATGGTGATGAAGAAAGAGAGACACCTACTGGAGAGAACTCTAAAGGTAACTAACTTAATCAGAACAGAATAGAATCTAAATACTTGACCGTGTTTCAATATCAAACAACCAATTTTGGTGTTTAATTTTCATCTATTTTCTGCAACCTGTGTTACTTTTACTCAATATATTCAAAGTACTTTATATTCCTAAAGAGATCAACCTGGTTTAACCCATTTCCATTTTATTTCTGCCAGAAGAACTAGAAGCTGATGTGAAACAGGAAGAGGTTAAAGAAGAAGATGTTTTACCAGCAGAGGTAGGTGTTTAGTTACAAGCCAGATTTTTTATCAAGTTTTCTATATGTTTCTAAGTAACTGCTGAGGCCAATGCAATAATAAACAATCTAAATCTGTGTTCGAAAAGCAAATCTCGGAATCTAGAAAATTTGGCAATGATTTTGAAAAACTCTCTTATGGAATGGCAAGCACATTTTTTTTTTTTTTTTTATAATTCAAGTTACACTACCAGAGTGTTTGAATTTCATGTGGCTGAAATTGTTAAATTTCTGTTAAGAAAGTTTCGATACTAGAAAGTCTGGCCCATATTAAATGCTATTCACCTTTTATAAACTGATGACTGATTTATATTTTAGCCTAGTGTACCTGATGGTCCAGAAATGGATGGATTTAAACAGAAAATAAGAGATTTTGAGAAGGAATTTCCATCTGTACAGGCTACTATAAGCGGGAATACCTTAGTAGAACCACTAGTTATTGATATAGAGGAGGGTGCTGTAGAAGATGTTCTTCAAAATACAGTCAAAAAAGTAGAAGGTTTGTTTAATTATGATAATTAGTTTAATCTTTAATTTTTACACCTGGAAATCTTGACATCTTAAGGGTATACAAGTTAGGTTTCAAATTTTAACCATTTATCCAGAAGCTCAATATCTCGCTGATAGATGGAATCAGATGATTATAGAATTAACAGAACGTTCCATAAAACAATTTGTTGTTCAGAATTAAAACAGATGGAACCTGTTCAGAACTCTCCAATCGAGCGCCACCTATATGATGAGAAACCTGCTTGTTTGATAGGGAGTCTAAGATCAATCATGGTAGAGATCTGGTATTGATATTGATGTTTAATTTCTAGAACCTTTAAGATATCAATCATGGGAGAGATCTGGTATTGATATTGATGTTTATATTTCTAGAACCTTTAAGATATCAATCATGGGAGAGATCTGGTATTGATATTGATGTTTATATTTCTAGAACCTTTAAGATATCAATCATGGGAGAGATCTGGTATTGATATTGATGTTTATATTTCTAGAACCTTTAAGATATCAATCATGGGAGAGATCTGGTATTGATATTGATGAAGAAGATGAAGATAATGAAAATGATATTCCTGAAGAAGAGGAAGAAGAAGCTGAAGAGGTAATGTTATATTTTATTAGTAAATGTTATGATCCTACTTATATTATAAGTACTTGGTAACTTTGTAAAATATCTACATGTACAGGTATTTGTAGTAATTTGTGGTGTATCGACTGTCATTGCTATCAAGCATTAATGAAATCCCAATTCCTGTAAAATATATACATTCTACTTTTTGTTGCCCCCAATTTCATGTTTTGAGGTTGATTTTTTTTCACACTATTCTTGTTTGATTGAAGCTTGATCGCACTATTAATTGGTTTAATTGTTCCTTCCATTTTGCCTGTGAAAAATAGTATTAATAAATGTTTTACAGGAAGAAGATCCAAGTCGTGGAAAGAAGAAACATCTTGGAGAAACCAATCATTTCTGTTGTGTCAGTCTAAAAGAGAACAATGTATTGGCACCGGGTAATCCTGAAACTGCTGCCATGTACAGAGAAAAGATTTATTATTTTACCTCTATTGAAAATAAGGACAAATTCTTAGAAAATCCTGCTTATTATCTTCCAAAAACTAAAACACCTGAGGTTAGTTTTTAATCTTAGTCTTATCTTGATTCTTTTTTATCTAATTTAGGATCAATAGAATCATAAGGTTAATTTTATAATGATATTTGTGGAATATTGTTGCCATAGAAGACTTCTATTAGAAGTATATCTTAGATATATGTGCTCCATTAAAACCTGTAGTACACAGGGCCTTGGTTGAATGTCCTATCCTAACAACTAGATGCTTTTCCATGTCAATCTGTCTGGATCAAACCCTGGACCTTCAAATTAAAGAGGAAGCATCCTAACTAAATGAATGATTGCTAATGATATTAATGTTTTTTTCAGACTCCACCAATAAGATTAATGATATTAGGTCAGAAAGGCGCTGGAAAAACGTTACATGGTCGTCATCTAGCTAAAAAACTGGGCCTATTTCATATCTCATTTCAAGATAGATTACAAGAATTGATTATTAGTAAAACTAAACGTAAGATAGGACCAGAATTTGAGGAAGAACCAGATCCAGTTGAAGAAGAGGAAGAAGAGGAAGAAAAGGAAGAAGATGAAGAGTAAGTTTATATATGAAAAATCATGTGGAAGATATTTTTTCTTGTCGTTGACTGCAGATGACTGTTCATATAAATTTGATAATTAACAGTGACAATATTTTATCATTTATAGGAATGAAGGAGCTATAATAGCACCTGATGGATCAACAGTTGATGTACCAGAAGTTGAACCAAAAGAATCTGCAGTTGAAAATGAGGTTTGTCAACAAAAAAACGCTATCTTTCAACTAAACTAGAAAGAAAAATTTCTACCTTGAAATAATATCTGGTTCCATGGCACTTGTTTTCAATTGTTGAATGTTATTTGAAAGCAAATCATGTTTTGTAGAAGAAAATTGCTTTTATTTGATCCTGTATTGCTGATATGTGGCTCAATAGAATGTTTTACTGTTTATGTGTAGGAAGAAGAAAGTGAACCAGAATTAACAGAAGATGAGGAAGCTATCAAAGCTAACCTAGAATCTGACGAACCTTTACCAGCTGAAGTTTTAGACAACATCTTACCAGCATGGTGGCATAAAGAACCTTTCAAGTAAGTTTCCCATAAGTATGCATTTTGTTACACTGTATTCTGTGGGCTACCAAGTTGATCTGATGTAGGTGCTCTTCACTGCTTATTCATGATGGTCTTTGAACTTAAATTTAGGATTTCGCCAATTTTAATCAATCAAATCCATAGATTCAAATTTTAAAATCCAATCCTTCAATTTGATATGGCCATCTTCACAGTATGTAAAACTCCATTCATTTCAATTCCTTAGCAATTCCCTATCAATTGATGATACAAAAGGCTTGATACACAGGGCTTTTGGCGTGTTAGATAATTTTATTGAGTTGACACCATTGTGTGGACTAATTTAAGTCTGGTTAAACATGACTATTGTTGATATTTTAGATCTACAGGGTTTATATTGGAAGGTTTTCCACGAACTGGAGATGAAGTTAGATATTTAGCTGATATGGGTTTATATACTGATGCATCTATTATATTATCTGTAAATGATGCTGACGTAATAGGGCGTTTATTACCACCTAAACTTGATGCCTGGAAAATAAAACGAGATAAACGACTGGCCATTAAAGAAAAACGTAAACAAAAGGCAAAAAAGAAGAGGGTAAGGATCAATTACTTCAGACATTAATGAATGTTTACAATTACAACGGCAATTAGTAGTGTTTGAAGATTTGGTTTCTGTGGTATCAGAAGTAGGTCCATGACTTTCATATCATAGTGTCAAATTTTGTCATTTTATTTTAGTTTACCAGATATTAAGCATAAATGAAACTTTTGTTGTTCATCAAGAAAGTAATTTCATGGGTGCTCTGTGTTGTGATCTCCACCTTTTTAACTGTAATAGAGTATAAAATACCTTTAATTATGATGAGTGAATAATTTTGATTTTAACAGGAAGCGGCTATACAGAAGAGAAGAAATGAATTATTAAGAGAAAAAGAGGAGAGAAGATTAGAACGCAAGGTAATTTACTTTTATATTTTAAACAAAATAATTCTCCTTTTCTTGTATTCATGGAAAATACTCTTTCATTTATTTTTTATCCTTATGTTTCTATAAGTTTCAAGCTGTGTTATGTGTTTAAATGAATTTCTTCATTCACATTTTTTTTCACTCAGTCTACTGTCTTATTACAAACTTATTCTTATTCTTTCTTGTCAATTACATCCCCAACTCATCTTCTTTCTCTTTTTCTATTCTTTTCATTATCTGTTTGCTGTTGCTCTAAAAAACTGTAATATCTAATTCTTCTGTTCTTAATATATCTTCTATTCTTAATATATATTCTGTTCTTAATATATCTTCTATTCTTAATATATCTTCTGTTCTTAATATATCTTCTATTCCTCATACGCTTTATCCTGCTGTTAACTCTAATACTATATCTGCTGTTAACTCTAATACTATATCTGCTGTTGTATCCCACAGTTTCAAGCTAGATATAATGTTCAGGTAATTTCTAATTTCCTATTTTTCTTATTTGGATTTAGATTACAATTGACATAAATACTAACACTATTCTTTCCTAATAGGTAGGCCTATATCCATATCCAAACAAAACTATGTATGGTTCTTACATGAAAATAACACACACGAATGTAGTGCAAAATCATTTTGAATCTCTTCCTCTTCTTAATAAGTCAAATTTTTAAAAAGGGTATTATTTCCACACAGCCTTCAAATCACATTTCAAAACATTTCTAAATCTTTCAATGTGATTTGAAGGCTTGTTTGAAATATTAATACCTTTATCCCAATTTGACTTATTTAAGTCAAGGAAGAAATTGATATCACTGTTTTCTACCTTCCCCAAATGAAATGTAAATCATTAACACCAGAGTCTATTTGTTGTGCACTTAGAAGGACTTAAGTTAAAGTTGATGCTCTAATATTCAGGCTGATAGAGATGAGGATATTTCTGAAGAAGAAGAATTAGGGGAAGAAGAAGAAGTTGAAGAAGAGGAAGATGATATTGAAGGTGTTTTAGCTGAAGAATTTGAGGTAAATAAAATTCCATTATAATTGAATATTGTTTAAAAAAAAATTCCAATTGAACTCCTTATAGTTAAGGTAATGGTTTGCCATTTTTGGGGGATAATTTGAGTCTTGAATGTATTTTAATATATGGTAAACGTAAACTTGTTTCTCTAGGAAGAAGAAGGGGAGGAGGAAGAAGAAGAAGAATTAGAAGAAGATGCTATAGACAGAATAAGAAATGATTTAAATGAAGTTTATGATGCTGATACTAATAAACTGGACGGTGTACAGGTTGGAATTGTTAATTGTATTAAAATTCTTAAGGGATATACAATGAGTCTGAAATTTCCAGAATTGGGATTAAGCCCGGTATTGGCTTTATCATGAAAACCAAATTTAAAAGATAAAATTTCTTGATCCAAGATTTAACACAATGATATGTTAATTATCTTTTGCAGGAAACACTAACAGAAATATTAATCCCAAGACTAGAAGTTGATGGTGGAAGAAAACCTCACATTGTACGCTATATGTTAAATAAGAAATTACGCCCTTATGTTGAGTTCCGCCATAGTTTATTTGAAAGGGTTTATCCTATTGGTGAAAACCTTGCCCAACGTATGTTACAATACGGTTATAAGCAGCCCAGCAGATTTGGAAGATGGTGTCCTGTCAAGGTATGTAATGAAGCATTTTATATTAGAATAATTCATATTTTTCATCCATGCTTTCCCATGTCAGAAAAAACATCAAGTTATTCAGGCATTGATATTGACTTGAATTATAAGAACAATGACTTATTCAAGAATTGTCACATGCCGACTGAGGTCAAAACCCACAACCACCATTTATTAGACTAATCAAGCAACTGACATTTCAACACTCTAAATAACTATTCTATAGCCATCAGAAGAGATGATTCAAATGATGTTCAATATTTTTTATAGTTGAAAGATGGAGATTGTATTCAACCTATCAGTGGTCCAGGATACCCAACATATCCATGTATCTATAGACAACATATATATTATCTCTCATCACTTGAAGCTAGAAGTGAATTTATAGAAGATCCTATGACTTATCTTAAACAATCAACACCTAAACCAGTTGTTCCTATTAGACTAGCTGTTATTGGTCCACCTAAAGCTGGTAAAACATCATGTAAGTACAAGACAAGTAAGGAATAACTTCTCAGTCCATGGTGGATCCTTTGTAGACTAACAAATTTGTAATTTTGGATATCTGGATGAGCTTGTTTATAGTTCAGCTTTGTACAGATATTAAAAGTTACCATATGTCCAAAAATGGATCCTGCTCAACTCCAATTAAAAAAACGTGAGGAAATCAGATTAGTATATCACATCTGAGGAACTCTTAGGGTCAGATTTGTTGGGCAAGTTCCTAGTATGTTAAAATAAAAAAAGTTCAAAAAGGAGTACTCTAATGCTGATACAAAAGTTTTCCTCATTGCACAGTTTTGTCTGTTTTCATTAGCCCCTAGCTCTATCAGAAGAGTAAGAAGTAAATCTAGAATATTTATTAGACTAGAATATTTATTAGACTAGAATATTTATTAGACTAAAATTTTTTTTTTTTGATTATAGTAAGTAAAAGATTGGCTGAAGAATATGGATTATTGAGATTATCTATTGGTGAAGCATTAAGATTATTAATATCAAACCAACCACAATCAGAATTAGGTATCAAGATAACAGATTGTTTAAAGACTGGTGCTGTAGTACCTGATGAACTAGCTGTCCAAGCTTTAGAGATGTGTCTATTAGATATGAAATGTCAAACTAGAGGGTAAGGATCAAGTGTTATATTTTGTTATATAACATACCCCAAAGCATGAAGTAGTAAATTTAGAATTTTGGGAGAACCCCCTCAGACGAGGTAAGAGAGGCTTGCGACTATGACGCCTCCACAGAGTTGCCACATTTTGAGTTGTCCCCCCTTTGTGTCAGCTTGTACCCCCAGTCTCGGGAGGCTGGTGCACCACTGACAACTTGGCATAGCCACCGTAATTGCCTGAAACATTGATTGCACATAGCAACATTTTAATTGTAGGTATGTATTAGATGGATATCCACTAACTAAACATCAAGTTGAATTATTAACTGAGAGAAGTATAATACCAGTTCGTGTTGTAGAATTAGATATAGATAATAAAACAGTCATGGTTAGAGGAACTAAAGATAGAGTTTCAGAGGATAGGTTAGTATTATCCCTTTTTTATGATATTTTTGTCGCAATTGTAATCTAACAAGTTGCAGTTCCATTGCAGTTCCATTCTGAGGTTGTTATTTTCAATCAATGGAAGCAGGTCATGTAAGATCATTTTCTTCTTCTCATAACAATGACATATTGTGAGATAACCTGCTAGAAACTGGCATGGATATTTCAATACAAACTTTTTGTTTGTAGGGTCTACCCAATGCATGATAGTGCCCAGATTTTAGCCTCCAAATTAGCAGCTTATAAAAATAACATTGAGGAAGTCAGAAAATGGTATCAAGATGAACATAGAAATTATGTCAGTCTGCCTGGTGATGAATCAAAATGGTGGATATGGAATTCCGTGTTAGAAGTTTCTAAATCCAGTGTTTGTCAAATACAGACATATTTACAGAGCATTGCTGATGGTTAGTGATTGTTTTTATTCAATTTTCTAAATGTCAATTTTCCAATAGGGTGGTATTGGGTTAATCTACAGTGGGTAACGGACCATTCTATGGATTTCCGCATATTTTGCTCATATCACAGGTAATGATAATTTGTTTTTTTTCACCAGGCCAAGCAGCATCTATAAATGATATGTGTATAACACCTAGTGAGTTTGAAGATAGATTGGGTGATTATAATCAATATTGTCCTGTTAGTTTAGCTTTACATAATGAACTAATAGACTGTTCAACATCTAAATCATTACAATATGCTGCTGAATATAGAGGTAAATATTTCTATCAGTATATTTAAATCACTTTTTGCTATACAGAAGTCTACAAACTGACAAAACACATGGTTGAACCTACTAAATGGGTAGTTAATTATAGTTATTAGTACCAGTATTATTATTTTGATGTCTATACTATTATAATTACGGTTGGCTAAAACTGAAGGTAATCAAAAATTTTAAAATGGTGAAATTAAAGTTTCCAATGCTGTAAAAAAAATAAGACAAATTTGATTCTCCTAGAAGAGTTCCGAAGAGTTGGCATTCGTAGCACAATAGATTGTAGTCTGGAATATCTCACCAAATCATTTCAGGACATTACTATAAGATGGCAGGACAAAAAGAATTAGATCAGTTCCTAGCAACACCAGAGAAATTTATACCTCCATTGGCACCAAATAAATTACCAAGTCCAGAATTATTACCTAAACGTTGTCATGGTGATGAAATCAAGGACAAAACAATAGAATTAGAAGGCTATTGTCCAGTTACATATTATTGTGGTAAATGCAGGTATGTTTTTTCATTTGTTTTATTCAGAGGCATCATGTACTTAAAGGGGATGAATAAAATTTATGTATTTTGTTTGTTTTTTATTCTAGATATGAATATATTATACCTGGTAATCCTGAATTAGTAGTACGGTATAAAAATAAATATTACTCCTGTGCTACAGAAGAGAAATTATTACAGTTTATGAAGTAAGTTAATTACTTACTATCCACAGTCACTCAGAGCTTGCGTCTTATGGACAATGACTAGAAATTGTTTAATTTTTGCATCAGTTCCTCGTCAATATACATTTTCACAGGTTTTTCTGCTTCAGCCTAGCTTGCCCAATAGTGAGTGTTGTATTTGAACAAGTTTCATTAAAACAAGGCCCATTTCTAAAAATTTTACAGTACCCCATGCAACATAAAGCAACACCAAATTTTTACTTTTGTTAATTTGTTATTTGAATAGGTCACCAGAACAGTATTGTATACTAGAATTACCACATAAACTACCACCTAGAGAAGAACCATTACCTATTAATGCACTACCCATGTTAGGTTTCATGGAACAAACTGCAGCTTCAGCAATTATAACTTCACTAACATCAGTTGGTAACCTTAAACCTAAATATCCTTTCTTAACCTCCAGTAAATCAGCATTAGTTTATGTTGCTTATCATCTGAAAGGTACGTTTGAACTTTTGATATTCCTGTTTCTATTTTTTTTTTTTAAATCTTTATGCGAGCAAGTTATGCTGCTCTCAAACCATGAAGGTCCAGGGTTTAATCCTGGCATAGGTTGGGGTTATATCTTTTGATTTTGGTTAACCAAGGCTGTGCACGTTAAATAAACCACTACACTTTGAAATTGAAAAAAGGTAGGCTCATATGGCTGTCCTGGTATAATTTCCATCATTGCATACTACATGGCATTACCTGTCTTCATTGGGTGTAAAATATTCCTTTTCATTTCTTATTTATTTCAGCATTTAATCCAAGAAGTTCAGATTATGTGAGAAAGAAGTATAAAAAGAAATTAGAAAAGTTTGAAGAGACTTGTCATTTAATAAACTATCTAGGTGATCACATGACAGTAAGATATCGTGATCCTAATGATAGACCTTCAGACTTTGATAATAAACTGGAAACATTCTTTGCTTTACGTGGTATTGAACCAACATCAACATGGATTGCATAGATTATTAGGTAGCATTCAATCTAGCTAATCTTTATCTTATCTTAATGTATACTTTAACAAAATAAGTAATTCCCCACTTATGCATTGTTTAAAGGGAACCATCTGGGGCTCTTATTTGTGTCATCAAAATTTTGGTCAGATGTCTTTGGTAATACTATATAGAGGCTTTATGATAGACTCTGATTGAAAATTGATGTTGTCAGTATCCCTCATATACTTAAAAAACAAACCTACAATGCCTTTAAGAAAATATTATCTAAATGGAAAGAATTCTATGTTTTCAATGTCACAACAATAGAATATAACCAACCAAAGTTTTTTTTTTAAAATAGATGCCTCTAACATTTTAAGCCAAAATTTAAATTTAAACATCTTGAAATTTTGATAAATCTTTATTTCTTATTTTTATTTGTACATACTTTTTAATCTGTGTCTTGTTCAAAGCCAAAATAGTACTGTTTTGAGATGTACATTAGTTTAAGCGATTGGACTGTACAATTCTAAATGTGACCAAATAAGTGTACATTATATTACCCAATATATGATTTAAATGTAACAAAATATGTGATAACTGTAGATAATTTCTGTGATATTGTAATATTTAGTGCCTATAAGATTTATTTATTTTATATTATTTGTTAATGTGATATTGAAGTAATGATTCTAAATAATAATTAATTCTATTTTGTCTTTTAATGGTGAGCTTTTCAGAAATATTCCACCACAGTGCAGGATTTATAAAGGTACAGCAAGACATCAAAATGGTTCCAATTACTGTCTAATATTTTTAAAACATACAAAGGAAAACCAATCTCATATATCCAGCAATTATAGTTCAATCGAACCCTTTTATATTAGCAAGGTTTTTCAAAATCGTATCTTAGTCTCAGCAACAGTAATTTTTAACTAAGATTAACAGTAATAGTGCTCACAGCTCACCATCAAATGTGAACCTTCAAATCCATATAATCTCGTTTGAATGTTAAAATAATGACTTGTCTTTTCTTGAGACTCTGCCATATATAGAAAATATATAATATAGATAATAACATTTGTAGTTTGAAGTATATTTGAAGGGATTATGAATTATGAGATTTTCGTGAAATTCTAGTACTTCTAAATACTAGTTACGTATAATCAAGACTCATATCAACCCCCAAAATGGCAAAACATGGCCTTTAAAACACTATATAAGTTTTACAGAGTATTACTTTAGATACAAATGATGGTGAGAGAATGTTTGTACCTTTAATAAACGTCCTTAAAATACTGGCTTGGTGAAAGAAATAACAACTTAAATAATCATAAAATTATTAGGCAATAAAGTTACATAAGTTTTACAACTGAGATGTTATTTTGAGCAATTCCTGTACTGATCTAATATTGAATACTGAACACATTCATTCTTGTCAAGATAAACTCTTTCAAAAATGGACAAATGTTACTGAAAAATTCTTTTCAAAAATATGTCCTTATACCAAAATCAAGACTGACAGCCAACACTTATTAGTTGTGGATGATATATATTATTTGGTTATGTCCATACTAAGGATATTGATAAAAATATGTATTAAAATACAAATGTATCATTTCTCGTATTGAAGACAACTTCATAATGTGACAATTACTTCAGTAACAGCGCCATTTGTACCCCTACTTCATTTTAAACAAATTAAGACAACAAATTTTTATAATTTTCTTGGGTGTGAGCATGCTTCACGGAATGCCACATTTGAATCTTAACCTCTAAGGTTGTCCCCCAATAATGTCAGTCTGCACCCTATATGTATAGAGGCCACTGAATTACTTAAAATTATAAATAAAAAATGAATAAGCTATATATAACATGAATGACTTGGTATAATGTTATTAAATTATACTGAATATAATGTTCAATCTTCTTTATATTTAACATAATACTATATAACATAACTATTCAAATTACTGAATGTCTTCTGTAAAAACCATAATGTATTTATATATCTATTATATTTCTGTATAACATTATGTTATTCACTGGTAAAATTTTGATATGAATACACCTATAAAATACAATCTCTTCTATAAGCATTCATTATATTTTTAACATTGAAATAACCATAGAATATTTTCAAAAAAACTTGTTCGTATTTTAAAGCTAGTGTACTGTTAAATTATTAGAAATAAAATAAACCATTCATGTGATATACATTCTTCACTTCTAATACCTTGATTTCATTAGACACTTTTCCTGTATTACACATGTTTGTAAATGCATCAATTTTTATTGGATTGTATGGGAGCTAATACAGCCAATCAGCCCTCAAGAACACAGTCATATTGTTAACATCTTTTGTCAAGGGCTCCGATTGGCTTTTTTTGCTGGTATACAATCCAATCATATTTCTGCATTTGCAGGACACAAAAAAGTGGCTTAAGAGGTCAAAGTATTAGACAAAGTTCGAAATACCTAAACATTGTAAAGATGGAGCCACACAATCCTTCAAAATTCAAAGTTCAGTGCTGTAAATTGTTGGAAAGATGAAATAATACAATAATAAGCCACATATAATTAATATGGACGGATGATCATCAAAAACTACCTGCAATCATTATTTTTGTGGGAGTCAATTTTTGTTGATATGTCCCGACGAAGGTTAAGCTAATTTCAAATATTTTCGTCTCCATAAAATATAAATTTCCCTATGTATAAACCATAGTTGTGAAAATAACCAAAAAAATTAGATGAATTAACATAGCAAAAGTTTTTGGTAACCCACACAAACTTATTTCCTAAAAATTAGGATCAATCAATTTATGTCATCACAAAATAAATATGCTTCTGAGGACAAGTATGCCAATTTGGTGCTCACCAAAATAAATGATTTCATATACTCTCCACACTTTTCAAAATATTCTTGAAGCAATATGAAAAAAATCGAATAAATTAAACAAATAATCACTGATAATAAATTAAAAACATCATAATCGAAGAAATGAATGAAATATCCTAATGTAGTTTACAATGAATAAAATTTTGTCTTTTCCATGTCAGCCCCTCCGACCTGCATCACTGACGGAGAAGAAACCGGGTTGAAGAATTTTAAGATATTTGTAGGATTGAACCAAAAACCTGGTTAGCAAGCAAGCATTGAACTAATTAAGCCACTTCAGTTCCCATTGTTAGAGTAGAAGAATCTAGAATTCTATGTTAAAAAGCTTTAAGCTGAAATAAATTCTAATAAGTTAACTAAATATTATGCTGAACAAGAATTAAAATGAAAATCAAGCTTCCTTCTCCCATTAAAAAATTATGCTTCATGAAAACCATGGATATAGTCATGTTATTATTCTGTTTACCAGCTGATAGAACTTAACATAGTTTTGAAATTAGATAAAAAAAAAAATATTTAAACTGATAGATGCAAGGAAATATTATTGGTCAGTAGGTCATTCTCCATAACAAGATACAGAAATCCTATTAACTTTAAAAGAATAATGTTCAAAGTACTGATATCAAATCAATGAAAATACTCACTCCTCTGAAACACCTAATGCCATCCTGTGACTGGGATTGAATTTTGTCGGGTAGATTTGTGGTATCACTCAAATAATCAGACAGCACTTTATCAGCTAATAAACTGTTATAATAAGATGACTATATCCAAGCTATATTCTCTATTCTTACCTTTCTTTTATCTATACAAATATCAATGTTTGACTCCTTACTGTACAATTTGGAATGTTATATTATCATACAGGAATATAGCCCAACAAATCTGACTTACTAATTACTCAGATGTGATGTCATCATGATTAGGGCCAGACATAAAATATTCCTTTTTTATTTATGTGGCAGGGGGATAAAGTAGAATATCTGGTAATGTCTTGAGGGAGTCATTAAGGGTAAGGCTTCATATCGATACCGAAAAATCCGAAAAATGATCTGTCTCAACTCCCATAAAAATATAATTTGATGTCTGACTCTAACAATGAAAAAATCACATCAATCACTTCACTTCAGAGTAGGACCAGATTTTGGGCCAATAGAAATAATGCAAGAAATAAATCACTCAGTCTTTTAACAAGGTTATACCAATCTTAATACTTTCTACACTACAAACTATCATCATCGGACTCTTCTGATAACAACGGTAATTTAGATTCACGTTGTAATATAGTTGAAAATTGAACACCACCAGGTAAAGTCATTTGTCTCTGTTTACGTTTCATGTTTCGATGTTGTCTACATGCAGCCATAGTAAATACACCAGCAATTAATGCTATAAAAACTAATATACCTATGTCTGAAATTCAAAGAAGAATTAAGTTAGTTGGTGAAACTTTTACTAACCCACCCTCATAATGTTTGATTGTAATACAACCATAATCCATAGTGAGCCAGAAATAGTTATATTATATGGGTAACTGAGCTCAATGGTCAAAATTTAGCACATGTTGACAAATATTCTTACAAGTCTTCAAAGCCATTGTGCAATGATACAATGTCTAGTGTCAGAAAAAAAATAAATTATGGTCCTTTTTAGTAGAAAAAAATGATATTTTTGTAAAATAAAACATTTCTAAATGGACTGGTGTTTAATGTCTTTGACAGAAAACAATGAATTTTAATAGTGAAATTTGTGGAATACTTACATGTTGCAAAAGTGACAACAGTATGTTCATCATCTTCTTTTAATAAATCTCTCACTAAATCTAAACTACCATTAGTTGGTGCTGGTTTCAAGTCTAATAAATGGCACATTAAACTATATATATCTACATTATTTAAAGTCTCTATAGTTGCACCAGCCTTGAATGATGGGCCTTTTACCATAAAAAATGGATGCATATCTTGTAAACTATTATTATACCCATGTGTTCCCACTAAAAAGTAAAATAAAATATATTGCTTTAAATATTTAATATTATTTCACAGAATTTTTGAAGCCTTTTAAAGAACATTGAGACATCAATCCTGACTAGTTGTAATTGCAGTCAGGAAAATCATCAAACCATGTTGTATCCATGTTCTGGATGTCAAAAGGGGGTGCCTTCTAATGCAGTTTTCACACAATGAAGCTGCTGTGAGTAAAGCCACAAATAACAATGGATGTATGCAATGCAAGACTGAAGGTTACAACGACATGCCTATGTCGTTATGGTTCAATATTATAATCTTTGAGCAATATAACTGATGGATTTGTCTAAATATATCAAAATATATCTTACATGAATGGTTTCTGTCCGAAGATATATTATAAACTAAAGTATAATGAATATGTGCTATAAGAACTATAGGTTGTATTCTAATGTTATTTTTTATATGATATTCTACTGGTAGGTCTTCTTTATAATAAACATCAAAAGCCTTAGTACTCTCTGAAGCTTCTTTAAACTTTTTATAAATAGTTTCTTTTTCTCCTTAAATAGAAAATAGCATGTTAATCTATCAAATATTTTCCTGGTATTAGCATTAAAGGGAAAGTAAAGAGATTTTCTAACAGTTTTATGTGTATCTGGGTCACTGAGCGCAAAATATGCTTTATCGTATAAGGCCCTTTGCGATTAGTGACGTCATCAAACACTTAGTTTTAGTGAAATTGCAGGAACCACAGATTTTTGATTGAAAATTGGAATGTTACAAATTGATGCTATCAGTGTCGGAGATCCACAAAAAAAATCAAGAAAAACCTCTCTATGATCCTTTAATACACTTTTTGTTACCAGTTGAAAGAATTATTTCCATTTTTTAAAAAAAGATAAACAGATGTCTTGTTCTGTTCATGAACAATTAAAGAAAAACATGAGTAAGTCTTCTTTTCATATGTTTATTATGGATATCCTCAATAGCTTGAAGCTTTTCTTGAAATGAATGATTAAAAACTGGAGTGTGCAGTAAGCAGTGTAAGCTAGTTTTATTGTGATATTAAAGGGATTGTAAATAGGTTTTTTAAATTTTTATGTGTATAAGGCCTAGGGGACACTGATAGCATCAATTTGGACCATTCCAATTTTCAATCAGAGTGCAAAAAAATCAGACTGTCTTTAACCTACCTTCATTAGGGAGAATATTGGTGACAGGATTAACACCAAATACTTGATAATCTGTAGGATCTACATAGTCATCTAAAATAACAACTTTATCTAGGGGTGCTGATGTCATACCATGATCTGATGTCAATATGATGTTTATCTCATCTTCTAAACCATATTTCTTTAATTGTTCTAATAAATAACCTAGTGTACCATCTAATAACTGAATCATATCTTTTACTTCTTGTGATTCAGGACCATGTTCATGACCCTGTTCATCAGGTTCTCCAAAATATAACAATCCTAAATTGATGGGATATTTTTCTCGAAACCATTTTATGATTGTGTCTATTCTAGATTTAAAGCTATAGGGAGCTGGATTATGATAATAAAGCCTTTGTGTGAGTATAAAACGTGTTGGTACTATTCCATTCACTGCTGCATAGCTACCAGGCCATGCAATACTGCCTGATCTATGTTCACTACTTTGTATTTGATTTGTTACCCAGATTGGTTCTCCTCCATTATCAAACCACTTACTGTCATATTGCTGTGTTGAATTAAAAAGGCTAAATGTCTCATTAAAACGTGGGTCATAAATTGTATTGCCAATTATTCCATGGCTTTCACTGTACAATCCTGTTACTAGAGCGTAGTGATTAGGGGCAGTCGAACTTACAAAAATATTCTTCATGCCATTTTGAGCATAACCCCCCTCTGTCTTAAATCTGTCAAAATTGGGCGTTTTGCCTGGAATTTTGTTGATATAATCCCATCGAAATCCATCCATAGATATTATAAGTAATTTCTTTGGTTGTGACTTGTGAGAATGCAAAGACTTAACCATGAACATAACAAAAATCAAAATGGATAAAATTCTAGCTATCATGATGATTGTCGATGTCTGTTTTATACCATAGTCACTAAAAATACAGTATCACATAATTCTCAAAATATGACGTGAGTGATTTTTAGCAATTCACTGGTAAAATTCGATCAACAACACAAAATGAAAAAATTGTAATTCTGTGTTTATTAGTCCACCATTTTGTCCACCACGTGATACAACGCAACCAAAATAAGGGGTGACTATTCACCGTAATGGGGTTTGTTTAACAGAATAGTACACGGTTCAATCTCAAGACATTCCGATTTCACTTAGCCTATTTTCAGACCATTACTCATAAATCTCAACAGTCTGTATAGTTCGTAACAGAATTACCCAACAGCATGTAAAAATAACGTAAAAAGATGGAAATGAATTTTAAATAACTCAAAACACAAAAATGATGAAAGTGAAAAAAAAAAATCACTTAAAATACAGTTATAGAAAACTAATTATAAAACGAAATAAAAATAGCTAACTTCCTAACACTGACCACAAGAATCTTTAAAAATAAAAAAATTGACTAAAGATAAATCTCATGGTTAAATCATGAGATACAACCAGATTAATTCATGTCTGATTCATAACGACAATAAAATAGATGACCCAAATATTACAAGATATTATGGAGGTTGCTTCCAATTTATAGTCATTCGACAAATCTCAATAGTTTCCATAAATCTGAATCTACTTTCGAAATTAAAAAAAGTACATAACCTATACCTACGCAGAACCTTAGGGGTCAAACTCTCTATTCATCAATCATACATTTATGATCATGCTGTATACCTATCTAACGAAAAAACTGATTTGTTTTGTTAGAGACTAAGGATAACTTTGTTAGCTATGATATAAAAGTTGAGCTTAATTTCGTTTTATATTGGCTCATAGAGTGATAAACACGTCGATTGACATAATATGCACAAACACAAACTTATATATCTGGACACAAGACACGATATTAAATAAATTTGCCGATACCACCTCACCCTTTATAAAAAGAATATAACACATCCCGTCTAAATATAGAAACTACTTTTATTTGTTCGAATTCTGTAATAACTGATAAGTATTAACTGTAATCAGTGAAAAACAATAGAGATTTGAACTCTCAAACTGAAACTATTGTGTTAAAGTCTTGATCAGAGGCTGATTTCTCGTCAGTCAGAAAGTTTATAGGCCTACATGATGTGTTCGATTTGTCATTTGAGTGTTAGATTATCTTAATTGGTTGGGTGTGAGCTGAAATCAGGGGTTAAGATAGAAAACCAATCAACCAAGGCGCTCATTTTTGAATACAGAGGTCCAATAAGGCTGAATCTGTTCTGCTGGGTGAGATTTTCACCGTTATAAGGTATGTTACCGATACTTATCAATGGTCTTTATTCAGTAAGAAACGCACTAAGGTACCGAGACCTTTTTCAGGAACATTGTCATTTTGGAAATCCAAGAAGAATAAGAAACTGGGGCTCTCCTAATAGAAATCTCCTTCGTTGGTTATCGTGTGGTTATCTGTCTTCATAAGCCATAGGACGTAGAAGTTGTACTATTGTATATCGTTCACCTTGCCCTCATTACACAGGATTTTCTTTCCTTATTTCAGATTTCTAGTTCGGTTGACATGAATGGCTTTGATGTTCAGAGTGGTGAATACCAGTTACGATAGAAATAGAAAGTGAACTTCTAGTTTAGGGATATATTTCAATGAATTACGCTACTTTCGTACATAAACCTCAAGGTCAATTGTTGCCTTCAAATGTCATTTTAAAGTAAACAACACGAGTTTTGGATAAAATAATTTAATTATAACGAACGAGTTGAACATATCAATACCCGTATAACATGAGGTTAATATTGAATATTATAACAAACCATACCTTACATACTTATTATCTTACATAGCCTACACATTAACCCTTAATGGTTTTGCTTGGTACTTCCAGAATGCCCAGGCACCCACCACACTTGTTAAAAAGAATTTGCAGCAGGCTGTTTCAGAATGTGCTTCTTGCTATTAGGCTACTAGAATGCTCATATACGAAACTACGCAGTTTCGTATGCTAGAATGCTGTCATAAATCTTTTAGTATAGGTCTTTTTCTGGGGCGTAGGCTTGTGTGTTCGGGGATTATGACAGGCAAATATGTCCGCCGTGGACCATATATTATTGTACTAAAATCAACTCTTGTCACCTAAGAAGCTACATGCCGTTGACCAACCCGCCATGATTTTCAAACGGTTTGCTTTTACAGGTAAAATGAAGTTTGCCAGCTGAAAGAGTCCAATCTTAACAACGCCCTGGAAATGACCATACAGTCTGAAATTAAACGGTAAGACAGACGTAAGATATTAAATCTGAAAAATGATACCGAAATGGTGTAATGAATAATCACCACATCAAGTTCAGTTTAAGAAATGGGTTGCGTCCCTTCTGTAGTAAATCTTTCATTACAGAACCAACCGATCACTGCTGGATCTTCACGATCACTGCTCAATTTTTACGAAAACTACTGAATCTTTACGAACACTGCTGAATGTTTACGAACACTGCTGAATCTTCACGAACACTGTTGGGTCTTCACGAACACTGTTGGGTCTTCACGAACACTGCTGAATCTTCACGAACACTGTTGGGTCTTCACGAACACTGTTGTATCTTTACGAGCACTACTGGATCTTCACAAACACAGCTGAATCTTTACGACCACTACTGGATCTTCACGAACATTGCGTCTTTCTTTGGATAAAATTATTTTCTAGTCTAATCACAACCACTGTTAGAAATATCTACAAGTCATTATTAAATAAGTTACTATTGTCACCATCAACTATAGGCCTAGAGCCTACACTGCTGCCATCATCCTTATAACATTGCCTTTAATCGCGAACTACACTCTTTTCAAAATGCGAGGTATTGTAAAATGTCCATATGGATTTTCAAAAAAAAAAAGTCATTTTGTGAGATGTCAGTATCCACACAAATGAATATTTTCCATTTTACTGGGTTCAATTCCCATCACTTTTGCCAGATTTTTCATAAAATACTGATTGATCTCATTCGTGCCGTGAAATCGCCATTTTGGACAAGAACAGTTACAATGTGGCCAAGGACAACTATCTAGTAGTTGATGTTTACAGCTAGATCTTGATTCTCGTCTATCTCTATCTCCTCTTCTACCTGAAATGGTCAATAAAACAAGGATATTGTCAGATATTTTTGCCTCGTACGATGCAAGGAGACGTGTTGGTGTTGCTGGCCCCTAATAGCTACACTATACTAGAGAAACCAGCTGTTCCAATGAGACGATCATTAGAAGCCCATGCTACTGTCATCTATGCTAGCACCACGTGAAATATAGACAGGCATAGGACTGGTTTTTCTGATTTCATGGGACTTTGATAGATACTCTTAATCAGAGAAAACCAGCTGATCAAATTGGATATAGTTCTCAGAGGTCTCGGATACTATCATCTAAGTTGGCTCCACATGATATGTAGACGGGTATAGGACTGGTGTCGATGATTTCATGGTTAGTTTTTTAAATGGGGTGACTATCAGAAGCACCTGCCACTACTTTGCAAAGTTATCAGTTGGACGTCTTTGGTTCCTGCAATTTCACTAAAACTAAAGTTTGATGACGTCACCATCGCAAAATCAGCTTAATTAATATTACATAAAACCTTTGTGATAGTGACGTCATAAAACACATAATTTAATGAAATTGCAAGAACCACAGACGTATGATTGAAGATTGGAATGGTGCAAATCGATGGTAACATTTTCCCCAATACACACAAATTTTTTATAAATCTCTTTACTATAACTTTCAGGGTATCATAGTAGAACCTATAAGTCCTGTCACCCGCGTCATGTCATTTCAGATAACTACTTTTGTCAGCCAAGGGTAAGAAAAACTCATATTCGTTACTATAAAATTAAGCATGACCATTCAATCCCAAATCTTCGATTAAAATACCGTTCATATGGTTTGACTGTGCCAAATACCTACCTCTATTCTTCCGCCGCCTTCGATTTTTCCTTTTTCTCTTTTTGCCCTTGTTTTTATTTCTATTTCTCTTTCTTGATTTAGGGTCGTCAGATAACGGTGTTTCATTTGACTGAGTTTTAAATCTGACATGGAAGAGGAAAATCATTAAACTGTTGCCCTCCATTCGGAATGTTCACAGATTTTAAACATTTCTGATAAAACAAAGGACGAGAGTGTTCTATGATCATTTCACGAAACACCAGAATTCTGCATCCATTGAAAATTTATTGGCTGCTAGCTAACAAGTGTTTCGATGGAATGCTGTTTTGAATCATGTCTACAAGTTTTTTAATTACTAATAGCTATTTACTGTATATTGCACAAGCTTCTAAAGCGTTCACAAACTTGTTTTGTTGGAAATTGTAAATAAAGATACAGTATACACCAAAGGTTCACCATGTTCGATCTAAAAGCCATTTTATTCATATTTTCAAGCTTGGTAATCCATCTACCAAAGCAAAGAATACATGATCGATGATACGCATTCACATTGAAAGTGGCTGTTAAATATCTGCGTTTCAAATGAAATTTATAAATGATTATAGTCATTCTTTTACCTCTTTTTCTTCATATTAAAATGATGTTTACAATTAGTTTCACCATAATTACTCTCTTCCCAGCAATAAACTGATTTAGCTAGATTTTCACCACTAATTTCCATCTTATGCCATTCACTATAAACAAAACGAGAGAGTTTAATTCTGCATCATACGGTCGATCATCTTAATGTTCGAAGGCCAGACACATTGGTTGCCAGAAAGTAGAATACTGACGATTGGTGCCAATTGTGATTTTTAGGCTTAATTCAACGATTGATTCAATTCTTTCAGATGCTACCAGTTGCTAGCAGTCGTTAAACACAAACTTGCTCCCAGAATCTGCCAAAAGCAAAGCTCAACATTATCTCCCTTTAAAGGTATATGCTTACCCACTTGTTTAATAGCTATCGTGATATGTTCCGTTTTATTCTATAATGGTTTAGAGAAATACGACAAAAGATGTACTTGATAAATACTGGAAATATTCTTACCTCTTGAGTAAAATATCATGAGAAACACAAGCAGAGGCGAATACAGCTCTGAAATATATAGAATTATGAAAAAGTACTTTGTCAAAGTGCCACATTCGTTAAAGTTAAAGCTTCTTTAAACATGAAAGTGATGTTATATACTGAATTATTCCTAATCGAATTATGCATCCTGCTTCTGATAGATTTACAGCGAAAAGATGTCCGCTATTAAAAGTTTGGTACCTTTTAGAGGTCATGGAAGATCCCCATCCAGACATTGGGTTTCAGATATACAGATATTCTTTTTCCAGATTGATTAATATTTGAATATTTGCAGAATCAAGTTTGATATTATACCACATGCATGTATTATAATTTTGTAAGAATTGAAACTAAGTTATGAATTTGATACCCAGACGACTCACGATGCGTTCTTCAAACTCAGTTTAACTTCTTCACCAAGTCTTAATAAATACGACCATTGGTCACTTCCCATCTCAGATCTACCAAAACCACTGAATACATTATCTACCTTAATCTGGGCAGCATCATATAGATTCTGTATTATATATACTGGTGCTGTAATGAAGAAGTTCATGGTAAACAGAAACGATCAAAAAACGATTTTATCACCAATGTTACCTCTTCAAAAATTCGGTTTTTATGGAAGGCCAAATGTGATAGTTCTGCCTGCCACCTCACTGACAACCCCTATAGAAACGGAGCTCAAATAAAACACGGTAGCGGTTTTGTTAGATGTAATAAAAAGCAACTCGAGAAATACCAAAATCTTGCACAGACCTACGTTGTTACAAAAAAACGTATCATATATACTAACTCTTTATTGAAGGATAGACACGATGTCCGAAGTAACATCTCCAAATTTCAGTTGGATATTTCTGAACACATTCTTCTGGTAATCTTGGTTTCCATACTCTACAATATTAAGATACATTGATATACATACAAGACTCGGAGACATGTTATTAAATCTATCCATCTGATTGTATATCTGACTACATCGTCTGCTTTCTCCACAAACTTAAATAACTTCAGGAGTCAATACAGAATGAATTTTAGCTTGTTTTTTTGTTACTTCAAAACAAGGAGTAACGACTTAAATAAGACAATGTGGTTAAAGGATTGTTAACGTATTCTTTATGAGACAAAGCACAACAAATTCATCAAATCGAATGCTATACTGATCGTTTACAAATTCAGTCATTGTCTAAACCATGAAAAATAATAAGTACTATACTTACTCTACGCCTTTACTGATTCCTACAGTTGGTGAACAAGTATAAGCATCACGACATGGACTAGGTTTAAATGGTTCATTATCTAAAAACCACCCAGCATCAACCACACCACGTACTTCTACCTTTGGAGCTCTTTTCCTCACTTGGTCTGCTACTCTGTCTAAATTTATTAATACACCTGTACCGCCGGCACTGAAATTATTACAACGTAAAGGATAATTTTCACGGATGAAATGGTATGACGTTTTAATTCCAATTGTGTTGAACGAACGAATATAGACAAAGCGACAAAGGATGCAACTATAAAAATATCTATCACAATTATTTAGACCTCATGCATGTAATACGACGAGGCTTAGGTTTGTTTTAAGGGAATCACAGACACGTAAAACGTTTAAAAACATAACATAAAAACAAAGAGACAACCAGACTAAGATTCTGAAACCTAAACCGCTCGGCATACACCTCTTAATAGAGACAAAAGCACTGGATGGGGTTGTTGAGTTATATACACTTTGCTATCTTTTATCTCGTCCGAAACCATTTGCTTATAAAGATGCCATCTCGAAAACACTGACTCAAAAAACAGTGTATTTTTTCATATCTTTTGTGATAAATAACATACCTACTACCAACTAGCAACATTTTCTTAGCATTCCTTAATCCCTTCTTTAATAACTCTTTTATAACTTCTTCTAAAATTAATGATCCCATAAACGAAAATTCACCTGCAATAATCGATCATAGATTGCCAGTCAAGGTATCATACGTTATGAGGAGCAAAGATATTACTAGGCAAGGTACCATACGCCAACGTCAACAATGATACTATCAGGCAAAGTATCGTACGTAATCCACAGTAATGGTACTATCAGACAGGGTATCATACGCCATACGTTTCTATCTGACAAGGTAATATACACCAATGGCATCAAGTCATAAGCAACAAGGAGATCATAATACAACGGCAGCAGTTCTACTACCAGGAAAATTATTATACGCCAACGACAGAAATGATACTTCCGCGCAATATGTTTATATAAGTTAAGCATAATATGAAGTCCCCCCACTGTTCACAAGCCAATCAACAACTAACAGTATCCCTACTTTTGGATGATGAATTTCTGGTACCACTCCAAGAGTCACTGGAACAATATGGAATGATTCTGAAAAGTGAAAACGTAAAATGTAAGACTAAAAATAACATATTGCTCTGCTCTATAGCTTGTAGTGTGAACAAAGTTTACCGAAAAGTGTATGACAATCTCCAATATAAGATAGAGTTTTTCAAAAGACGAAATGTATGATGGCGCATCTAAAGATGTCCTGATGCGTTTAACTATAATTGTCTGAATGACCAGGAAATAATCAAGCATTGATATTTTCTATTGAATAAAATTTCTCCAAATGTAAATCTACTTACACCATATTAGCACGAAAGTAATAGGGATTATCTTCTGGATTCCACGATAATATTCCACTACCTGCAGGAATAATTGAATTTTGTTATAAATGATAGAATGTTGTATAGGAAGAAGCATATCTTTCACTTTCAGGTGGAGCTCAATTCAGTATTCCAGATTAGAAGGGATTATCCAAATATGCAATCCTTGAACCAAATGATAAAAGAGACATCTGAATTCATACATCTATTAACTTTTATTCATCTTCATGTTCCAGCGTAAAGTTCTCTTGTCTTAATCACAAAACCCTGTCAATTTTGAAAATTAACAACCATGAGTTCTGAGATGACAGAAGATTAGAAAACCACTCTTGAGTACCTTTATTTTCTGAATGTTGGCACTTATTTTGGGAAAGTTTCAAATTCTTTCATTTTTTAGGAGATGATAGAAATACTATCCAAGTTACTAAAAGACTAAATAAAAAACTATAATGGCAAATCAGACAAATCGATGTGTCTGATAAATTCTCCCTTTGTTAATCAACTCCAATAATAGGCAAACCTTTTTACCTGGCGCCAAACTAGTTTCTAAAGAAATTCTTTCAAGTTAAAGTTTTTATTATATATTAATGTATTAGCCATCCTGCTTAATCAGTTTATCTGGGAAAGACAAATAATGTTTGTCAAGTTACCAAGAATGTCTTTAATCTTAAACCTTTATATTGTAACTGTCAGAGAGTTTCAAACCTATCTATTGTTGATAAATAACATTTTAAAATTATAATATATACTACAAGTCTAGATTGTATCAGTTACGTTTCAACAAAGCAATCAAATATATCCCTTTCTTTGATTTGAATGTCAAAGACTAAAATTAATTAGCGCCGTTGATAGAAAATTGTACAAGCATATTTTATTTCTAGGTAATAAGAGACCCATTGAAATAAATGGAGGATTAGTGTTTTCTAGGTAGATTTTTTCATCAAAAGGATGTTTTCTTTGTACTGTATTGTAATATTGTCATTAAACATATCCCGAAGCATTCAGTTATTTTTAGAAAATGGACCAGCTTCAAAATAATCTATCCCATGGCCATAGTCAATTGAAATGAAGTTTTACGTCCTACTTTTACAAAGTTCAGCTAAGATTGACTTTGGTCGTTCACATCATCTCAGCGCATCCGTTCAAAGCATCTCAGCGCATCCGTTCAAAGCATCTCAGCGAATCCGTAACAGTGGACATGGGCGAAACACTCATATCGTAAAATTGACTTCCTGCCAGCAACTACGATCAACTGGATGTGCACAGATCCCGATCGCTCAGACTGAGAATGAAGTTTTAGTTACAATGGGTCATTTCTGTGAAGGTATCAAATAGTTCTTCAGATACAATCAAGAGATACAGATAGCGTTAGCAAAATAAAGCTTTCTTTTGGTATTCAAAAAAGATTTTCTGGTTTCAGTATATACATGTATAAGCTTATAATAATTCTGATTTTCTATCCTTCTTTGGTTCTCGTTGTTCCAAACACTTGACCATATTGTGTCGTCACTATCGATTTGCTGTTTGTCCTTAAGGTTAATTACAATTTCTAAGTTGGACTATTGTAAATTTAGGCATAGATTAAAATCTTCGAGTGAATTACCTTTTCTGTGACGTGGCCAGCTTCTAGAGCTCATATAATCATTCATCATTCTCAATCTTTCTGAACAGCTGATTTGATCAAAACAATACCACCCGCCTGTGATAATAATATAATATACACCAATTTGTTAGATTTCAATAAACATATATAAGACCCTTAGATAAATACAAGACAACACAGACATAAAACGTTATTAAATATATTAATCCAAGCTTTTGAAAACCATTCCTTATTTAATTAAACAAAGATCAAAAAACGTTTTGCTTACAAGTTAGAATGTATAGTGAGATTTTGCTTTATGTGGGTTAATGGTAAACCTTACCTTCTAAGAAAACGATCCACTTTGAACTGCCATGTGATTTTCGTATATAATAACTATAAAGAAAACAAGTGAATTTAGGAAGTGAAGAGACAAGTTGATCAAAGAATCGAAGTTCAGAATAAAGTAAACATATCTGAAAGTTCTTATAGAAAGTTCCGAACAAAGTAAACATATCTCAACGTTGGAAAGTACATGTAATATATTTAAATTAACAACAGCTTCATATCTTATTTTCAATTGCAATTTAAAAGGACCTATCCTTGATTCGTAACTCTCCATGGTTATTAATGTTCCTGTAGGAACCAGTATTCTTCTTATATATTTCAGATTCGGAAGATAATGGATTTTCATTTCAAATATTTTATATTATTATTCAAACTAACTGCATAAACAATTCTTTCTCACTAGAGGTTATGCCCACATTCCTGTGCCTATGCTTTCGTAACCTAAAATTTTTAAGGGGCAAATAGACCAGGTATGATGTGCGATGAGGGAGTACAGTGGGTGTCGTATTTTCGCATCTTTACACATTTTTACCAGAAGAGATCCATTAAAATCCAATTTCAGAATGTAAAAAACGAGAAAAAAATCCGAATCTCTTTGTTGTTTGTTTCGGCCATTTTCTGATGAAAAACAACCACACAAAAGCATTTAGATAACATTATATATATATATAAAAAATACCCATTGATTTAAGATTCATTTAAAACGATTAATTGTAACACGATTTTATAAGGGTTATAAACCACATACAGAGATAACACTAATTCATCAAAAAATAATTACTTGTCTTGAGGATTAAATATCAAAGTACATTTTTACATTACACAGATCCAAAATACGTACAGTTGAAATGAAAGAAGATTTACACTGAATTGTTATATGGGCTTTATACGTTTTTGAACCAAAATATGTGTCAAATGCATCAAATCAGCTTAATATTTTGAAAAACCCTCTCAGATGCACCAAGAGAAGCTTGCGACATTGACGCCTCCACAGAGTTGCCGTATTTCGAATTCTCATCCTCGACGGTTGTCCCCCATTGAGCCAGTCTGTCTCATTTTTGTACCCCCAGTCTCAGGAGAGAATCATAAGGACTATGTCGGTCAAATCTGCAATTCCACTTTTACAGAACCGGAAATGATGTAAGATAATTTGCTGTCAGATTAAAAATTATGCATAACACACATAATTATGTTAAATTGACAATGGAGGCATAAGATTCCAAAGTGTATGATCATAAGAACAGCAAAGAAAAATGTAACTTGCTTTTTCAGCGATATAGTTGATGCCCGCACTATGTATTATAAAAGAAACCAGTATAAAGTACTTACCCTGACGGACTGCCATCATTACATGTCGCACTGCTATGCTTTAAGAATTTGCGTCTAAATCTAGGTACTTCAGCTATGCCACAGCTATGCGTTGTTAAAGCTATGTGTCGTAATAATAGTTGACCTTGGCTTCCTAATTGATTCAGTTTTTCAGTATTTAATGTGATATCACTACGTCTATGGTGTATTTGTGAAATTGTAAGTTTTATCAGGAATATTAAATACACGATTCTGCTTGTTTTGATCATCATTCTGAAAAAATATAAAAGAAAATTTAACTCCTGCTATCACTCGGCAATAAGTTTGTCGTCTCGTCCCGGGATTTCAACCAAATGTGACAATATTGCTTCTCTTAATCATAACACGTCAATTGAATTAAATAGAATTATGTTATATTGCATTATTTCTATAATTAGACCGGGCATGTTTCACGGAAACTTAACTTAGGATGATGTTATATTGTTATATATTCGAGTCATTTGATTGGTCAATCAATATAATTTGAAATTCAACTATATTAGATTAAAATCTTGATGGTGATTCATTCAAATATATGAAACAGGCGCAGGTACTAAAACTACTATTTGTTATCTTACAAATGATCATATCATTTTATAAACAATTAAAACCTATAAGAAAAAATGTACTTCCTAACTATTTTATAAAGTAAAGAAACAGATTTGTTACCTTAAATGAACCTTTTTTCAAACGTTTAATCCAAAATACAACTGAATGAAGTTACATTGCCTTTTAATGAATACCCCTTGTCCATATATACGTTTATCCAACGTCAACAGAATAAGTTCTTTGATAAAACTGTTTCTCTTGAAAACAGAGCTGCATCGTTCTGGCCACAAAGATAATTTCAAGATAAAGTGGTGAACTTCAAAGAATCTATGGACCCAAATGGAAACCAAATCTGTGTGAATGTTAAGAAAAAGTGAAAAGTACGAGACTAATAGAAAACTTGAGAGAATTAGCAATTTATGTTATGTCTAAAACTTCTTTTTCTACTTTCAAGTAGTCTTTGATTGTCGATTGTGGTAAAAAGATCAATGATTGTGAAATATGATTTGGCAAAGGCCTTGTTTGATTACAAACACAAGAAAAACTTAATCAACTATCTTGTCTTATAGTCTACTATAATCTACATATCCGTCAACGACTGATCCAAATTTTATTCCTCAAATAGTCTGGTATCAAAGTTAAAAAGTCTATTTTTGTTGTATAAGATATATTTTGTATATATATATATATATAATATGTACCCGTTTGTGAATGGAATGGATCCCAGGGGCCCGCTGCTGACCTTTATTCTACGAAATTATGATATTATAATAAGTTGTGAGGGCGGTTGTTTGTACATTTTTTTGTATCAGCTGTATAACATTTATGTATATGATTTACAAACCGACACTGCAGGGCGACTGACCATGGAGGTACTAATCAAGATCAATTCAAGGCGAAAAAGATCTCACCTCATGCCGCCCATATATCTTTCACACACGGTAATGTAATTGACTGACTAGAGCCTTTCAGTGGCTTTGACATTACTTGCAAAGCAGGGGCCAAACACATTTCGAAGGGGTGTGGAGGGGTACAGGCAATTCTTTCTCTCTGTAAAATCGTAAAAAGTTTGGTAGAGGGGGGCCAACCTCTTTTCTGGGAAGGGGGTCATGCTCCCCTTGCCACAATGTCAAAATATACGTGTTAATGCCTGTCAAACAAACAGGTGGTAAAGTAGGCACAATTACACCAGTGTCTGTTGTCACATTTGCCTAAGTATATGCGGTCACAGACACACGGGGTGGAAGTGGAATAAGTGTCTGTTGTATCAAACAAACGGATGGTGTAAGTTTTCACAATGACACAAGTGCCTGTTTCACGATTGTACTAGTGTCTGTTGTGGCAAACATATGGGTGGTATAAGTGTCTGTTGTCTCACTCAGTCAAGTAGCAATTGATTCTGTTGTGATTCCAAGTAAATCTACTGGGCCTACAATCACGATGTTTTATCTTGATGAATCTTGAATGATTTTGCTGGAAGACTTGAAGGTATCTAATTAGAGATGAACAAGTATGAATCACGTGGATGACAGGTTCAAGACAAATTAATAAAAAATTATTCTTAAGTAAATAAAATTTATTGTTGCAAGTTCACAGTTGCGGATTTAATGATGATATGAATAATTAAAGTCGTCTTCATTAATTTAATGATTGTTTAATTGAAAGTTTCTGGAGAAAACAAGATGGATAATATAGGAGTGAATGGCTATATCATTAAAGATAAAAACAAATATTTCTTTGAGGAAATGTAATGGAGCGAATATTGGCATACAGAATTAAATAAACGATGTAGAAAAACGGGAAGATGAAAGTGTGTATCAGCGAGGTTAGTTCGTGCTTCAATATTTCTAGGTTCATTCTGTTCAAATTTATCAATGAAGCGAATCGAAGATTGAAACACGGCACCAAGTCAAAGATAAACTATTTGTACAGATACACCTGACTTCATGTGTACTTAATACCTTGACTTTGATATCAGTTTAAAAAGAACTGGGTTATCTATCTATCTATCTATCGATTAATAAACAATCATTTTAATTAGATTCTAGCAAATAAGATGTAATAAAGTTGTTAATTAATTAGTTCTTTTTTTTTTTTGACTCATCGCTTAACCTCTATGCGTCATATTTGCCTGAACTTTGCACTACGTAGACTAATCAGTGAGTCAACAACACTACGCTTTATTATTGCACGTTATTTATGAATATACATATCATATTGTCAGCAAAGAATATGACACCTGCTGCATGTAGCCCTACCTGATCAAATTCGCTATCTTTTTTATCTTTCATCAAATAATTTGTTTAACTGTTCGAATATAGTATACAATTACCAAATGGAAATAACTTACGGAATGCGGTATATCAAGCCCTAAATTTGATCTATCTTTGGTAAAGACAAACAGGAATCATGTGTTAAGGAAAAGTTTCTCTGTATGAATATTGATATCATTTATGACACTTCGTAAGTTACCTTTGATGCCAGAGCGAAATTGTCTTATTCTACTCAGCCTTCTGCAATAAACATTGTAAGTAAATAAAGTTTTACGGTAAAAACAATGAAGATTCTATGGACGTCTCATTAGTCTGTTTCGGTCAGAGTCTGAAGGTTGAGAATGGCAGAATCTGACATCAGATTGATTTTCAACGACTAATGGCTACAGACAGCATCTGGCTGATTCTGGTCAATAATTGGTTTGAGCGCATCAAACCTGATGTACCTTAGCGAATCAAACCTGAAATCTCGTAGTTGCCGCCATACCAATGATTGCTCATGATCCATTTTTTAGTAAATATTTAGTTCGAGTATCAATTTGATCGTGGTTGCTATTAGTCAATTTCTCAGTTTGACTCATATAAACTGCTACGAATCCGATGAGATGATTTGAATCGCCAATGACTTTATTAACCCTAGTGTAACTTTATTTCTAATCTAAATTCCCGAATCTTAAAAAATAAACTGCACATTAAAAAGGTGTCAAGTTGAAGGAATGTAAAAGAACGACGTTTCTCTTGTACATCAAATGCAATCCTTCAACATTGCAAATGTAGAATAAATAATTTTGTCAGTTGATGATTTGTTTTATGTGATTGATTAGAAAGAATGTTTAATGAAGAACCATCCTCTCTTGGTAATTATCAACTACTTCTCTCTCAACAATACTCCACTAAATAACACATCTCTTCTACTTCAAAGCTTTCTTAAAGTAAATGATGATAAAATATCGGTTTGAACCTTGTTTTTAAAGATAGGACATCAAAAAAACAAGACGAGTAAAACAACATACGTAGAAATTTGTAAAAGTCGATTGGAAATTTGGCCTTGTATCAAAGTAAAATGTTGTTTTATATTTAACATGAGATATGGGTTGAACGAGATAATAGGTAGTTTTAGAAAATCGCAAATTAAAGTTGTTATGCCATCTCTTCTCAAAACAAAAATCGGTTGAAAATAAACGTTACTGCACAGTGTTCATTGTTCACAGTAAAAATTGTATTAGTTGACTGCTGGAGAAAATGTAATACATGCATATACCTTAATAAAGCTGACCGTTTTATATAGTAAAATGAAGTTGCAAATTTCCTGCTTTTCTGCCCCTGATTTAGGTAAATTTCACGAAACAGCTATACAGATTTAACAGGATTTAAGTTTTTCCGAGCGGAACCTGTTTTCGGAAACATCTTATATAATGGTATATATCTAAGAACTGATTGGTTATATCGGGCATATTATTGACTAATCAAGTTACTGGTTGTTAAAATTTGATACATGAAGTAGAAGCATCGGTTACCTTCTTACAATTGGCCACGTCAAACATGTAATAATCTTTGATATGGTACCTGAGATAGATAGGATAGTGACATAAAGTTCGACCAAAGTATTTGGAAGTAGAAATCTGACTAGTCAAGGGCAATAAATCTGTGAGACACATTTTGCGAAAGCATGCAATGTGACTTTATACACTTGATATATAAAACCCCCATACAATTGATAAAAACATAAGTCTGTGAGAGATCATCTCAAAGAAATCGTAATCTTTTTTGAAGGCAATTAAAGTGCGAAACAATAGAGCTAAAAATCTTGATTTTGACCTATTTCGTTAAGTACGTAGTAAACAATGTCTTACCTTACAAATTATATCGTCACATACGTTGACAAATTAAAAAAATATTCCAGATAAGAAATTAGAAACCATTTATTCATTCCTACAAGACAGTTAAAACACATTTTCTTTATTAAGCAGTTTGTCTTTTTCACCTTTCACGTCTATTGATGCCATATTTAAGTTCAAAACATGAAAGAACGCATAATTTTTAGCAAAAAAACTGTTTCAAACACAAAAAAAACATTTGAAATATAATTTGTTCACACCTGGTATAATTATAACTAGAAACAGTGCAATATGTCTTTAATAAATACCATATTTTACCAAGAAAAACAGGAGTATATCAACTACAGCTTGAGATAATTGCTGTCCGAATCTCTACTGTTTTCACTTGTTTTCTAATTTCTAACTAGACAACCGTATACCAACTAAATAGATACATATAGGCCTATATACATCAAACAAACGTCAAACTACAAAGTCAAACGTCCCAGTACAAAAAAGAAGTCCTAACAGAACCCTAAGGCTAGCAGTACTTATCTAGTTTATTATAAGATAGATAATTTTCCAGTAATT